TGTTTTACTTCCTGATTTGATTTTAAGTGCAAAAATATACAGTTCTTTTTAAAGAACACAAATTGTATGTATTTATGTAGTTTTGCTCTTTGTACAGGTTTTTTACATTATCCTGCTGTGTTATCGTCACTGTGTTAGTAGAGTAAATTGTAAATTGTGCAGTGTGGGTGTTACAAGGGGATTAAATTGAATTGTATCCCCTTATTAAAAACCAGGAACTGCCCACTATATTCAAACAAACACAAATTGAATCCAGGAAGTGCTTCTATCCAAACCTTTTTTTTATGTGTGTTGCTGTCACACACACACACACACACACACACACACACACACACACACACACACACACACACACACACACACAGGGTTTTTAGGTTTGTTGTGTTTTAAGAGGTTGATCAGTTATGGCTCTCGACTTTGGCGACTCCTTGTGGCGATATAAAAAAATACACTGATGAAAAAACGTATGCTATCAGATTAATTTCAGAGTTCTTGTAATTATAAACATTCACATGGAGGTTTTAACTCCTAGTTTATGATTATTTGTTGCAAGTTAATAATTTTCTCATCCTTAAATTGACTCTTTTGACAGATATTTGGGGCGTTCTCGACTCATCCCTTCAGAGTGAGTGAACACTGCTATGGCACGGGAGAGACATTCCTGTACAGCTTCTGTCCTGAGATCAAGGTTTGTACTAACTTAGTTTACTCAAGTCAATTTTAATTATGTAGCCCAATATCACAAATCACAGTTTTCCTCAAGGGGCTTTACAATCTGTGCAGCATATGACACCCTCTATCCTTAGACGCTTGATTCTGATAAAGGAAAAACTCAGAATACGGAATAGATCAACAAAAATAACGATATATGCAGATCACTTATCACTTACGATTAGCTTTATTCCTCAAATGGCTATATCAGACATTGTTTGCTGTTTGTTTTCAGGTGTTCCGCTGGACGGGGGAGAATTCTTACTTTGTGAAGGGCAATACGGATTCTCTGCAGATGGGAGGAGGAGGGTAAGTAGATCTACCAGCAACACTGCAAGTTAATAGCTTGTTTAATCAGTTATTTTGTGCCCAAGCACAGCAAATTACAGCAAATTACATCAAACGGTAACACTTCCTATCGAGGTACACATATTCACTATTAACTAGTTGCTTATTAGCATGCATGTTAGTAGCATATTAGCTCTTTATTAGTCATTATATAGAACTTATTAATCCTTTATTTTTTACCTCCTAATTATTGCTTATTGATAGAGAACAAGTAAGTTGTTGTACATGAATTATGATCTTAATTCACTTTGCTCAATATGTACCTTTTTATTATAAGGAAAAGTCATTCTCCTTTAATATCACTACATATGGCGTGTTTTCATGTAACAAAACACTACTGTTAATAGTGTCCAAATAACTCTAAATTGAGTCTTTTTAACTCAGAATTTGTTTCCCATTCTAAAGTGAGGTATTTCTCATAACTAAGCAAGACTTAAAGTTAAACTGGGATCATAAAAAACTTGTAAAAGATTTAAATTCAGTTGTATACAAGTTTTATAGTTCAAAGTCCTGTGACTTACTTACATTAGTAATGAGCAAAACCTCACTGTAAAATGAATGGGTAACATATTCTGAGTTAAACTTAATCACTTAATTAGTACTTAATAGGGTCCAGATAACTCTAAATTAACACTCCTTGTGTAGGAGTCACCTCCCCTCCTGTCTGTCTTGAGCTGTCACTATCAACTGGGGGCAGTGAAGGCCCAAAAGGAAAGAAGAGAGAGAGAGAAAAGAGAGAGAATGACTATTCATATCACATGATGATCATATATCATCATGTACAGCAACTGCCTTACTTACTATTAATAAGCAATAATTAGAGTTGTTGAGGGAAAAATCTGATATAGTATTAGTAGAATATGGTCATGCAGATTAATACATTAATAAGTGCTTTAAAATGACTAATAAAGAGACAAAATGCTACTAATATGTATTCTAATAAACAACTCGTTACAGGTTAATATGTGTACCTTTTTAATATAAAGTGTTTCTAAATGTTTTAACTCTTTGTCGCCCCTGCTCTGCAGTGGTCAGCTGGGTCTGTGGCTGGACGCTGAGCTGTACCGAGGCACCACCACCAAATGCGCCACCTTCAACAACCAGCCACTCTCCGCCCAGCAGGACTTCAACATCCACAGCCTGGAGGTCTGGACCTTCGAGTAGCCTCACCTGCCTCCTAGCTACGTCTACATTCACTCTCTGCTCCTTCAATCACACCCCAAGTCTATTACGCACCACTTGGAGGTAAAACCTTGCTGCCCCGCAATGACACTAAATGTTCTGTGAGAGGAAATAGAAAGCAGCCTGTGCAGTTGTTACTGAAAACGGAACAGAAAGCCTCCTGCATCTCTCCTGAGAAAATGTTGTTGCTCTCCGTTCATTGGCTGCCTTAGACATCCGACAACGCCTCCAGCTTTCCCAGCATGCAGACTGCCTTACCACCATAAGCTTATGAGGAGAGAGAAGAGGAAGGCTGCTGACGTTACTGTTGCGGTTAATCCCCAAAAAGAACTGATTTTAGGTGTGTATGAAAGAAGCGTTCCCATATTGCTGTAGGTTACAGGATTATGAACTGAATGATCTTTTTTTAAATTTTTTTTTATGACGCAATGAATTTCAAACATGAAGGAAATGGAAATTGCCAGGGAGATTTTTGGATCCTCCGCCGTTCGATTATTGTTCACTGCGGGAAATATCTCTAATTGTTTACAACGGGAAGTGTTGCTCTTCCCCTGAAGGCCGTCTTGTTTTCTTATTTTGAGTTTTTAGATGAACTGAATGAGAATGTCCCATTTGCATTTCCTCACAACTACATTTTTTTTGTTTTCATTCCCCCTGTACAATTCAAAACTTAGTGGTTAAACCAGGAAACATTTGCAATGACCAAATATGTTCTATTTTAATTTCATATATTCATGTTCATATGAGCTCATCATATTTTATTAAATATTTGAGAATTTTTATTTTTACATGTTATTTTTACATTCGTTTTTTTTATTAATAATGCTCAGTTGTTTTTTTTTTAATGGTTGTACTTTTATAGAAATGTTGTGTTAAATTCTCTGTTTCTGATTGGACCTTAACAAGCAGTAGAAATGTGCTGTCAGTATTGAATTCATATCGCACACAGACTATTTTAAAAAAAAATCTCTTTTATTTTAATTTGTGGTCGTTGTCGTTCAGAGTCACAGCCAGTAGAAGTTTTAATGTGATGTCACTTTGCACTACAGGATTAATTGACAGTTAATGCTGTGTCGTGGTTCTACGTAATTAAGCATTTCTTCAGTGTAAAATTGTTACTGAATGTTGTTTGATCACCACTGCAGGAGGGAAGCTTCCTGTGCGACCACAGGTCAGCTTCTGCTATACCTAAACATGGGGTGGATAAAGGGATTTTTTTTTTTTTCTGTTTTTGCACTCTGGTATGCCACTAACTTAAAAATTCAAATCTTAACTAACATGGAAAAGAAATGCTCCTTGATATCCTGTATATCTGACACAGGCTTTGTAGTGCATGAATATGCAATAACGTCTGACACCACTGTTATGATACCTGCCATACTATCCACTAATGCCAGTCCTCGCTTCATGTGAAAATGAGCTTTGTTGTCTTCAGCTGTTCAGTGTTTGTTAACTGTGAATGCTCCCTGAGTAATTATTTCTTGTGAATCCAAAACTGCTGTGGTCTGTATCTATCACTAAGGATCTATTTATTGTGTTGTTATGGCAACCACATTTAAACCTAAATAAATGTTAAATATATACATATATGATCGTGGGTCGTGTCGCTTGTGTCCAACTTGTTGATTTCCATTTAATGTCGAGATTATATAGACAAGCTTGTCACGGAAGAGTAATTCATTTTAATCGAGTTACGGTAAGAGACACCGGATAGGAAGGGTGGAAGTCGTCATCCCGGCAAAGATCGCTGATTGAGAAGATGAAGCACTCGGTAGATTAAAAGTGACTCACTTTCAGATCTACATTCATTTAAAAGAAAAAAGAGTAAAGCTGATTGTCTGAAGTGAGCAAAGAGGTTTCACTCAATCTCAAAGCTCACAGCTTTTTAGATTTCATTGTTTTCTGATTATTTTTTTTCTTATACTTTGCTCACGATCATATCTGCAGATGAAACCTGAAAAATCAGCTTGATTTTAGTATTTTAATTTAACTACAGTGGGAACAGAGGAGTCATCAGAGCACAGCATTTGGTTAAAGAACTTCAAGATGTGGAGGCTTCAACAATTCAATCAATGTCTGTTATGGATTAGATACATTTTAATTTTCTTTTAGACCTTAAATGTATACTCATTTTGAACTTGATGGTATTTTTACCTTATTCTGTGTTAATGGGAATAACATCCTAGTGGTACATTTATAGTACATACCGGTATCCAAGCCTGTGCATATTAGGGCATTTGTGTCTTAAATTTGGTAGGTAAGTGAAGACTCTGAAAAAATAATTGATGCTGTTATGTAAATATATATTCATTTAACAAGACCAAATTCCCCCCAAAAAGCATTTTTGTTTGTTTGTTTTTTTAAATATGATTTGTGTGAATTATACAATATCTCTATATCAGAAGAATCAGAATCAGAATCAGATTTACTTGCCAGGTAGGTTTTTATACATACGAGGAATAAATTACTTTTTAAAAATATGAATAAATAAAGATAAGAAAGACTGTACAGAAGATGGGAGTGCATTAATGTAATGGCTGGATATAAGAGTCATATTCTGACTGCTTGATGTGACAGTGAAGATCACAAACAATAATTAACTGAATGTTTTATTTTCCTTCTGTAAAAGCCGGCAAAAGTCTCCCATTTGACTGCCTTCGCGTCTCTATTTACAGGTTGTGGGCATTTAGAGCATTTAGAGGGGGAAAAAAAAAAACATTCAGTAATCCATCTTTGCAAACACAGACGATCTTTGACTCGCGTACAGCATCTGGTAATTTACCGTCAGAAGTTAAGGAAGGAGTAGCTTGTCGGAGAAGATGTCGGAAAAGAAAACAGGAGTTAAAGACTGTATTTTCTGTCAAATAGCCAACGATCAGGACAAAGAAACAGAAATCATTAAAAAGGTAAGATCCTTTAAAAACGAGCTTCATGCCTCATAACAGATACAGTAGATCACACCTTTGTATCGGCGGTGCTGGAGGGGAATCTACCTGTATGGAGGTCTGCTTTGACCTCTTATTGAACAGATTAACATAGAACTAGATAATGGTGGCACAGCATTCAACTTTATATGGAGCTGTTATTGTAGCAAAAACTGTTTATTATTTCCATTTACACATGCTGCATTCACTGACCATGTTTGTTTTAACAGTGTTTTCATCTCCATACCTGCACCCCCCCCTTCCAACAGAACAAGGAGCTGGTGTGTTTTAGAGACATTTACCCTGCTGCTCCTCACCATTACCTGGTTGTATCCATACAGCACATACACAGCTGCCACTCCCTGCACAGGGGACACACTGGTCTCGGTCAGTTATAGATAAAACCAGAAACAGAAGCACTATTTCTACTGAGCTGCTGCTGTTATTGCTACTATAATACAACTGCTTGTGCTACTGATACTACTACAGTACCTACAGCTACTTCTGCTAATACTCTTTCTGCCTATAACAGGATACTGCTGCAACTACCTCTGCAGCTACTACAACAGAACCACTGAAACTTAGAATACCACTGATCTACTTCTGGGTGACCACTATAACCTATAGCTAGGGTGACCAGGTGGCCCACTTTATGTGGGGCTGCACACCATTTTTCTCTATTGTCCCACGTCCCACATACTGAGACCATGTTCCACATTTTGACTGGCTCTAGTTTTCAGAATTCAAATAACTGCAGGACAGATGCTTTTCTAAACGCTGGTTTTATCCGATGGTTGTGAAGAAAGCAGGGGATGTTATCGTCATGGCACTGGCAGATTTAGGCAAATATGATAGAAAGTACCACAAAGAAAAAGAAATGCAGCTACAGTGTTTGATTCCTCTTCTGGTAGCCGGTGAAAAGCGACTGTCCCAGACTGTCACATAATGCTCTAAGTGTGAAACTTTAACATTCTTTACTCAGTTTTGTAGTTGGGGAAAGTTGCATTCAAATAAAATATATCTGTATATTTTAAGTCCTTCACATGCTAAAGGCCTAACTCTAACCTGTCTGGTTTGTGCTACTGAATCAACCAGAGGGCAAAGCGTAGAGATGTAAGCTGAGGAGCAGAATGGAAATGTTTATTCTTTAAGTTAGACAGACGTTAAATAAAATATGTAGACTACCTCTCAGCATCAGTAATGTGTCACACATTGTCCCACACAAACGTATTCTTTGTTGCACATTTGGTTTGTTGGGATCTGGTCATCCTATCTATAGCAGTTCTGTTAGTTTAACTGCTTCAGTTTCTTATGGCAATATATATATATATATTATAAATATATATAAAAGCTACTCCATCCTTTCTATAAATTTAATCAGGTTTTTGCAGAGAAATAACTGAGTCATTTATCCAACAGTGAAACGGATGGCTGAGATGGGGAAAGCTGTCCTACATGAACAAGGGATCACTGATATGAATGACATAAGGTAAATGAAGACAGGTTGAAACCATTTTATCATCACTATCGAGTTAGTGCTGTTTACACAAATTCAGAAAATGTACTGCAGAATTATTTCCTGGGTGTAAATGTATGTATCTATTTATACAGAAAAGTATATTCCATACATTTAATCATCTTTTTCTATGTGTGTAGCCTAAAAGAACTGCCAACTTTATTTTTTTATACAACCTTTTGTATGTTATGATAAATACATTTCATTGATTCCTTGAAAGCAAATAAGTATATTTCCTAAAATGTCAAAACCTTTGCTTTAAATACTGAAAAACGTTAACTGTTTGAAATATATGATGCACCTTTAAGACTCAATCAATCAAAGGTTGTGGTTTGTCGAACGGTTTCATTCCTCTTCTGGTGGGTTTGGGTGTCCTGATCAGAGCATTGATTTGTTGTCTTCCTCAGGCTCGGGTTCCACCAACCTCCTTACACTTCAGTTGATCACCTCCACCTGCACGTGCTCGCCCCCAGCAGCCAAATCTCAAAGTACATGGAGTATAAGTTCCTTCCACAGACCTACCGATTTGTAACTGTGAGTGCTGAGAACTAGAAATTCCCTTTGCCACTTTCTTTATTCCTTACTTATTTGTTTTTTCTTTATTAATGATCTTATATGAAGAATATTACGGTTGTTGCAGTGTTATTGATGCTTGTGAAATTTGTATTTATTGTACTTGAGCTTTCAGAAGTCTACTATACTATACTATACTATACTATACTATACTGCTTTCCATGCCCTGATCTGAATGAAGGTTTTTATATTGGCAGGAAGAATGTCTACTGAAGAGTATAAAGAAAAAATCGTCTACAGGCTTTCCTTTAGAGAGATGTATATTGTCTTAGGAGCCAGCAGCTCCTAAACTGGACTTTTAGATTATTGCAGAGGAGCAACAAACATCTCAGAGGACTGTTTGAACCTGAATTAGCCACATGGAGGGGAAGCTTTTACAAGGGCACTCTAATTGTGCTGGTGTGATGTTTTACGAAGTTTGACCTCTACAGCAATGACAACCTTACAAACTGACACCTGAGATCACAACAACGAAAGAATCACTAAATGAGATAATGAAGCAGATAAATTAAATGTGAAATGTATTTTTATTTATTTATTTTTATTGAAAACAATGGATTGACTCAACTGAACACTGTGTTTCTGTGTATAACAGTTTGTTTTTATATTTCTTATTATTAAATTATTTTTATGCAGAATTTTGTGTGTATTTGTGTGTATAATTACAGCTTGTCCTTTTGTATCAATCTTGTTATCTGGCATTAAAGGTCCAGTGTGTAACATTTACGAGGATTGCAATCTAAATCACCATTATATGCCACTAAATCCTACACTTATTTGTTCATATATCCACAGTAATTATCAACCACTGAGCAGTGGTGGAAGAAGTACTCAGACCTTCTACTTATGTAAGAATTGCTGTACCACAGTGTAGAAATACTACTTACTTACTTGATTAAAAGTACAAAAGTACTCATATCAAACTTAACTTAAAGTTCCAAAAGTAAGTTAGTATTCATGCAGTATGGCCCATTTTACAAGAATGTTGTGTTTTTGAATTACAATTATTTATGTATTAATTACATTAACGTTGTACAGGCTGGTAAACGTGGGGCTAATTTAACTACTTTATATTCTTATATTCTTAGTCTTATCTTTATAACAATACATTTATTAGATTTTAATCTGAATCCCAGTTACCTGTTACTTAAATTTTAAATGGATGTCCTTAAACTCTTTGATGCTACAATTTACGCGGTTCCCGTGAACGCCGCAGCGGACGGGCTCGATGAGCTCTGTGAGCGGCTGGTTGTCCTGAGCACAGGCACGCCCCGGTGATTCAGAGCTCACATGTCAAATCAAGGGCATTATTGTGAGCGAAGACACAAAGTTAAAAACAACAATGGGGACTCCGGAGTCTTCCTCCAGTGAAGACTGTCCTTTCTGCCTGATAGCGAACAACCAGGCCGACACAGACATCCTGCTCACAGTAAGTAGCCTGCCAACTGTTCTCTCATGTTTAAGAAGTCCAACAGCCTGACTCTTCCTCTGTGTGTGTGTGTGTGTGTGTGTGTGTGTGTGTACAGGATGATGAGCTGGTTTGTTTTCGTGACATGAAGCCCGGTGCCACACATCATTACCTTGTTGTTACCAGGACGCACGTTGACAGCTGCAAGAGCCTCAGAGAGGACGACATACCTCTGGGTCTGTGGTCCCCAAACTTTTTTCCTTTTTTATCATTTATTAAAGTGATAACCCCTGATCAAATTATTTTCAAAACTGTACAATGAACCCAAATAGTGAACTTAATAACTGCAGGAAGTTTGTGTTAAATTAGTTATTTTAATTAATTTTGAGCAGATTATTTCCTGTTCAGGGAACTTTTTTATGCAATTCTCTGTCAGTAGTATATATTTTAAATAATTTTAAATACTTGTACAAACCTTATTCAAGCTTTATGTATCCTGGGGGAAATTACTGTGCAACAGTTTCAATACAAAGGTGGTAAAGTACTACAGGGTTAGAGTAAGAATAAGCGAACATAAAATAAAATAAAATAAAATAAAATAAAATAAAATAAAATAGGCTTCTTTTCTGACAAATTCAGTGTTTTCTTGATTATGACGCCTGGCCATAGTTCTTTTAGACAATTTACTTTTCTTCACAAAAGTGAACTAAACACTGAGATATAGGCCTACTGTGTATATATTTTAAAGTTTTCTAGCACCCCTTAAAATCAAGAAGGCCTTGCGTCCCCCTGTGGGGATCTCCACTAGCTGCTATAGATGAGGGACTTAAAGGAGGAATTTGATCAGTTTCACAGTTTGTTAGCACAGTGCTTTTGAATCTGGGGTCTGGGACCAACAACGAACGAAATGGGATTGAACGTTTGATCTTTGATTGACTATGAGGACTAAACATAAAAACGTGCTCAGAGGGGATTCCTTCAGACAAAATCAATTTGAGCGGATTTTGACCTAATGTGCATCTATAATGGGGTTCCTTGACATGAAAAAGTTTGGAAACCCTGTTTCAGTATCCGTGTCAGTTAAATAGAGAAAGATGAGTCAGCAGTCTTTGATTAATAACAGGAAAATGTCACATTGTTTGAGCATATGAGGACGGTTCAATCAGTATTGCTAAAGCTAGAAACTAAGTGCTTGGACCCATGTGAGTTTTAATTTCTGGTTCATACCAGTCCGCAAAGCCAGAACGTGTCATTATTTCTGTTGTGGTAACAACATAACATTAACATAAAGCCTTCACTGTGTCTGGAGAAGTCATGCTTATACATATCCCAGTGACATCAGGGACTGTCCTCTCTGATCTGAGTAGATCCTGGGGAGCAGGAATACCCTGCTACATGTAAATGTTACTAAAGTAAGATTTTGAATGCACTACTTCATCTGGGAACACTTTATTTGGATAGTCTGCCTACAGATAGTTTACAGAGTGTTTGTAACCTTTGCTTTGTCTGTAGATGTATAGATTATTATAGATTATTCATGAATATACTCTGACCAAGATGTGCCTAAACCTAACCAAACCTTTATTTGTGAAAGGGTTGAATTGTTCAATCTCTTCTCAGAAGCTGTTGAAATGTTACAAATACTCTCCAAACTATTTGCAGGCGGACTATCCACCACAGTCAGTATTATTGAAGATATGTAAATATGTTTTGAAACTGTTCTATGCTGTCCCTTATGAATGAGATGAGTAACACACTATCCTGTGGTAATGCTGTGTACTGCAGTGTAGTTTTTTAGGATGTATAACAGGACCATAATGATGTGACTTGTTTGTTTATAGTGGAGCGGATGGTAGAAATGGGAAGAAGTATACTGGAGAAGAATAAAGTCAGCGACCTTGATGACGTCAGGTAAATCAGTTTCCTGAGATGACGTCACTAGAGTTGTGACTCATTCCACTTTCAGTAAGTTAGATAGGACTGACTGATTCACAGGTCTTTTGGGTCTTTTCGATGATTTCTTTGCAAATCTTTGTGTTTTTCAATGAATCTGTGCAGGATGGGGTTTCATGTGCCTCCATTCTCATCTGTTCCCCACCTCCACCTCCACGCTCTGGCTCCAGCCAGTACGATGAGCTTTAAGTCGCAGCTTCACTACGGACCGCAGTCTCACTGGTTCATCACAGTGAGTGATCTTCATTTATCTATGGAGACTGGAGTGTGCCAACAAAATTGTATGTCTAATTTTAGCAGTATACCATTATTGATTTATTATTTATTATCCATTTAAAAAAAAACATGAATTGATGATTAGCCTTTGGAAAAATACTACTACTCATTTTTGTCTTTAAAGGTCCAGTGTGTAACATTTAGGAGGATCTGTTGGCAGAAACGGAATAAAACATTTTTATTTTCAGGTGATTATACACGTTATTGTGAATATTATGTTCCATTTCTGCCAATATACCTTCCTAAATGTTTCACACTGGACCTTTAAATTATGAATTTATTTAAACATTTGATTAAATGATTGACTGTTGCTGTCCACACACTTTTTATACACACAATTTAAAGCTGCACACTACCGCTATTGTGTGATATATTGATGCCTGTCAACATCATAAATGAGCTACATTTCTCTTCTGTCTGTCTTGTATGTCTGTTGTGTACACTGTACAAATGTTATCTATGCTTTAATGTATAAATGTAATAAAAGCCCTTAAATCACCGTTACACTGAACTACACTGTGTGAATACTGTATAAGTTCCTTGTTCTGCTCTGTTGCAGGTAGACAAAGTGCTTTCTCAGTTGAAGACTCGTGGCAAAGTCAAATGAAGCGATTCAAAGAGTCTGAAGGTGCAACAGTCTTCTTTTAAGTTGACACTGTTATTTGTTGTCATTTTGTCTCACCAAGTGCAATTTTAAACCAGTTTTTCATCAGACTTGACATTTTTCGTGTTAATGAGTTATGATCATGTGTAGTTCCTCCAATGCTGTTTGTTGATTCAGTTGTGAAGTAGAAAAAAAACACTCTTTTATGGTTGGAAGCCGCCTTTCCAAGAATGTTTTTCATCAAACATCCTATCAATGTGTAACTGAATCGTCGATGAGGAGAGATTGTGATCGTAGGATTGTGTTATGTATTCAAATACAAACCTTGAAGATTAACTTTGCATATATTGATAAAGTTTGACAATAATTGAATTGTTCCTTTTTACTGTATTAAGTCAGTATTTATCTGGAAGGACAATTATACTTTGCACATTCATGTTTATATGTTTGTTTGTGTATATGAAATGGATCGAGCTGCTTATACCTTTAATGTATTTGTTATAAACTGATGCACTGGGGTACAGTCTTTCTTTTAATATTAATAAAAGATCTTCAGAATCTAATCACAGGGGACAATGGGTCCTAATGTACTTTTTTGCCAGCACCTACACAAATGTCTGAACAACATTGTTTAGAGGAAACACAATACAAAAAAGCAAATGTTAGATTAGAATGAGAATACTGGAGGTACTAATGGGCCTGAATACAGCAAACAATGATACAAGGGTTCCTTTGATTTAATTATTTACTTTTCTTACCACTCAAGAGTCCATTAGCGCTTTTGAGATCATGTTAATTGGCAGCGTGTGCCAGTGGGTGCATAGATATCTGAAGGGTTTGTTGGCAGGTTTTTGATTGAATTTAACCAATTGGAGTACGTGTTTAAGGGGAGTTTTAGAGCTAAAGATCTATCCTACTATCCTACTCATTGTGTATTCATAGTTTTAATCACTGTGGGAGACATGTTTGTTATTGTTTACATAAAGCATTAAGATCCTTGCGGCAGACTTTCAGTCTTATGCTCTATCATTCTCCACAGGTGCATTTGTATAGTTTCACTTGTTACAGCAGCTCAAGATACAACACAATGCAAAAGATAGGGTTATATGTACACTATATACACTATATACACCTCTTATATACAGATATCATGATTGGAACATTGCACACAAAAAATACATTTTTTAAATTGTTTTGAAGGATGGATGAAATTGCCGAAAGATAACATGAGGAGGTAAAATAAATATAATAGCACAGGACAAAAATATAGAGGGTGAGTGTAATTTAAAGGAGACATAGGATATAAAAGCCAGATAACTGTGCTGTGTATTACAAGATAAACGTTAGTACATTATGTATTATATAAAGGGTATGTATATGGAGTGTGTATAAAATAAAATGTACATAGGATGTAAAACCTGAGGTAAATATATAATAAATAGTGCAAAAAACGTGTGTGTGATGTTGTAAGTGGTGGCTGATGAGAGACAGTGACATTATTTCATATATATATAAGTATTTTGTTAGGGTTTTGGACAGACAGTGCCAGGTTAGAGAGAACTGAACTGATCAGGTATCCTGGCCGTAAATTCCTGACGTCTTACGTCGCCGTGACGCCCTGGCTGCTGCGGTGTAAGCCCCGCCCCCTCCACCGTCAACAACTGGATTCCAGCTATTTGTATTTTCGTCTAGCTAGCACTGCTAGCCTGCTAGCGATGATTCATTGCGTTCGTAGAAAAACGAGCGACCCAATTTGAATGGACGTGTATTCATTTTTGTTTGCTTGAAAAACACTCCATCGATACCGTGTGCCTATGTGCAGCCAATGCCAGCAAAAGGACCGACGAGAGCGGAGAGATCGCCCTGCTTACCGTCCTTTAGCCGCCTCTGAAAGCAGCTAACACAGCTAACACCTTACGGTAGCTGGCTGACAGCTGGTTCGTTCAGCTACGTGCCTTGTAACAGTAACGTAGCTAAGATTTACTCCCTGAAACAATGAGTCGTCTCTGACATTGGTGAGTATAATTAATGTGCCATGACATACTAATATCAAACCACTGCATGTCATTTGTTTTGACTCGCTTCAGCGTTGCATTGCGAGCTCGAACTGACCGGGCTAACCATCGGCTTGTTTGTAGCAGCAGCTGCACGGAGCCACGCCTGGGGCCATTTAAATGAATGTTTGCCGCTGACATTAGGTCTAATTTTGGGTGTCAACTACTTTACAATGCTCGGCTTTGTAGCACAACAAGAATCCCACTGTTTTGGTTTACAGAGAGGACTGAGGCCCAGTTGGTTGTCACATTGGAGTAACCAGAGCCCATAACTAGTAAGGTGGGTCTGCGGTGCTGCCATCGAAGATAAACGGGTGAGCCGTCAGTCAACTTGCCGATGCACACCTGGTTTTGACCTGCGAGAGCTGCCAATATGATGCCGGTAAGTGAACACAACCCCTGCTCTCTTGTCGTACATATAGTAATCGACAATCTCCCTTTTTATTCTTACAAGATCAGTGCCTCCACAGTTAATGATTTTAATGCCCACTTGTGCACGAAATCTAACCTGTGTGCAGGGTAGAAATCACTGCGCTCTGTGGTATTTGGGGTTGTTTATTCATATGTGGGGGACATCTGGTTTAAGATGAAGAGCACAACGTGATACAATGCAAGATTGATGTGTGTCCATCTCCCCTTCCCCACTGCCACTCAGCGAGATCAGTTCCAAGAAATAAAAAGGTTAACTTTATCTACTATGATTGTATCTGGTCATACATTTTTATGTTGATTGCTACAATGACTGAAACATTAAGAAGGCGATATGTGAACAGCGCTTAACCTAGTGTACAGAGATTGTGCTGGATCTGAAATCTGTTTGCTGTTTGCACAAGGAATAAAATATGTTTTCCTCTAAAGAAGATGTAGTCCATGTTAGCAAATATGTGCTGTATTGAACAAGTACACTACAGTATTTCAGAATATGATTGGCAAACGTCACACAATCTTCTCTCTCTCTATAATAATAATAATAATAATGATAATAGTAATAATAATAATAGTAGTAGTGAATCTGTGTTGAGTCATGTTAAAACAAATGATCTGCAGTATTTGAATCAGTAGGTACAGTACGCTTTGGTACATAAATCAATAACTATTTTCATTCTGTTGTTGTTGGTGTTATTGTTAAAGACGTTAGGGACCTGAATGGTAACCCTGTTGGAGTCGTGCTTTGTTGGGACTTCTTTTGTTATCTTTAGTGCTCAGAATGCAGCGATGGATTGTGGGAGAAATGATTGTAGCTCTTTTGGCCTTCAGGGAGGGGAACACGAACTCAGACGCAGGATAAGTTTACAGTAGGTTGAGTAAGATGTCATCATAAAAGGACATGATTCAGTCTTGGCCAATTCCAAGCGACTGCATTGGTTGAGAGTACGGCATCACAGTAACGTGATGTTTTTCCTAATTAAAATGGCTTTAATTACAATGCATCTTCAGAGGGGCTGATAATCTTTCAAGAGTACATAGTAACTGAGAAGTAAGTCCGTATTCGCTGCAGTCGTCGCAGGATTGACTGCGATGGTAGCCTCTGTGGACGTTTGTACCCTGTGGCACCAACAGGCTATCAGAGTCAAAGAGCCAGTCGAGCAGAGAGGCAGCCCTGCACTTGGGTCTCGCGTGACTCCGGCAGCCAATGAGACCTTGGCAGATCTAGGTCTGTGTGGCTGCGTCGACTAATGCTCTGTTGTTAAGGGGAACTTTTGAGCTGAGTAGATTGTCAAGTGGCATTAATCTCAGACAGTGGAGCCGGGCAGAGTGTGACTTACAGGAAATGTAAACATTGCATCTTATTGTCACTTTTACCTTTCTTGGAGTAGTGCTGGTTTAAAATGACGTCGGCCAAGCCATCACATTTTTTATAATCATTACGACTCAAAACTAAGAAGTAGTTTAATGGATATGGCTATTACTGGTCGATGTTTTCCCCAAGCTCACTGTGAATGGATAAAAATAGTTAGTTATTTATTTATTTAACAACTTCCACCTGGTGAAGACTGTGAGATCTCTTTTCTTATTGGTTGAAGACCTATACATTATTAATTAGACTTTCTTAATGCCTTCCTCTAATGTGCATTAGTCAGCTGTCCATCAAAGGGACACATCCTTTTTTAAACAGTGGGTTATACATTTCAATCCCTCTGTCCAGAGTTGTATTTTCGCTTAGTCTTTTCACGACAAAGGCGAATATGTTTTCTAATATGAATTTGTAATATCAAAGGAGTTTGTACTTGATGGCTTCTAGACACATAAGCTGTTTCAGATTAGTCTGGATAACTCGGGTTACCCAGCTTAATAACAGAGCACGTTCTTGGAACATATTTTTAAGAAATTTCAATTTGGGTCTGACATCTGTATTTACTGGAGTCCAAGAGTCCAGTGAACTTACTAATCTTATTTATGTATGAATAATAAAAACAGAATTATTTTCTCCAGTTACCCCCCCCCATATGGTTCAGTGCCATTTTAACCAGACGGGCAGATGTTTGGCCTATTTTGCGTGCATAGAATGGCGAGACTACAGAATTTTTTTTCTGTCAAAAACGTCAAAGACAACCTTCTTATGTCTCAGTGAATGGCCGTCTTGGATTTAACTACTGACTGAACTATTTGTGTGTTTGTGCCTGACCAGACGATAAAGCAAAATCATGCCTAACGCAGATCATAGTGTGTTAGTTTGCCTGGTTATTCCAGACATTTGGGCTTATTTGACTATTTTAATGGATTTGTTTGACACAATGTAAGTAGATAAGTTTGGGAGTGGAATTCATCCTCATTTTAATGTTGTTTTTTCATCTTAAATCTGTTGCATTTGTGGAGGGTCTTTCCATGAAAAGATTTTTCTTCATTGTGGGTTCCTCTTTGTGAGTAAATGAGTGACAGGATCTGTGAGAAGAAATGACTGTTTGAATCATCGTGCTGGAAATCAGATCAGCCAAGCATCCCTCTTTCTCACTCAGAAGTTAAATGATAAATGACCCTGTCTCCAGATGTGAGGGATACTGAATATTTTCTAGTCTTGTACAACCAGCATACAGTGAAGAATGATCCCTGTCTTGCTTATATGTGATAGTGCCCTGACCTGCTTGCCAGTCACAGCTCCGGCCAAACTATTCTCATTAGCAGGGAGTCGTCGGTGTTGCAGCCGTTGGCACGACCCTGGGACAATTTTCCAATAGAAGGATTTGTCTGCACCCTCCTCCACCCACCCTGTGACATCCTCTCTCTCTTTCTGTCTTTCTCTTACTGTTTGTTTCTCTCTAGCTCTCTCTCCCCCGTCCCTCCCTACCTCCCTCCCTCCCTCCTTCCCTGAATTACACATACAGCAAGTGTTTTTTCCTCCCAAGTCTCCTCTGCAGCACTTTTCCAATGCATGCACCGCTGTCTGTTTTAGGGGTCTGCTCGGGATGGCATAACAATTAAGTCTCGTGCCAAAAGTGGCAGCGCTATGATGAAGAGGTTTGTGACTATAGTGTTACGTGGCCTTGTTAGCCTCTCCAAGGAAAACCCGATTTGGGCAAAGGAGCACCACCGGCCACCGAAGAAGGAGATCAGGAGGAAACGGAGGGCGGTCAAAAGAGCCAAGACCATGGGCAGACGCAACTTAGTGAGGGCGGTTGGTATTTCTCCGATGGCCAGTCAGTTGGACTACTGGAGTTTCTGTTTTCTACGCTGTCACTGTCTGAATTTTTATTGACATGATTTGGTAGTGTCTGTTTATGCGAGGGTATATTTCAGGATATTTGGCATTGGCTTTTTGTGATCAGTTTTAATTTAGGCCCAAGTTTGCGCCTTAGTTCTGTTGTCTGATTAGTTAATTGCATGTCCTTATTGATTGAAGGTTTGTTTTTATACGCTCTGGAGGATATTCAGCGTGTAGACCGGGATGAACTGATTTGTTTATTATAGTGTAGTTTATGTATGATTGACTGTTTTATTTTATTACTACAATATTTCATTACATTTTCTAACCTATTATGTTTCTTACATTGAACACAATTATAAATAAGAATCCTAAATAATGATTCCACCAGATGACATTTAAATACTGAGTCCAAACATTGCTGCCCTCACTGGGCTGTTTTGTGTTCACAATGTTGTACTATGTTGTATCTTATTATGCAGCTGGCTGCACTCCCAATATCCCTTGGGGATTAGCAAAGTAATTATCTATCAGTGAAATGAACATAACTAGTCTCCAGCTTACTTACAGCACATTTTCTTCACTTTCTTTCTCATTTCTTTTTTTCTGTTAATGCTCTTGCACATCAGGTCCCAAAATTACATCCATTACAAGTCTATGTGGACACTGTGTCCTCACAACACTGTGAGAAACAACATGAAATAATTAATGGATGGTATGGATGGAGGAAAATAAGTGCCTCGGCTCTGGTACTTTGTTATCATTCATGGTTTCTGAATTTGCCAAAATATGGGCTTTTAGACTCAAAATCCACTGAGTGAAGACGCTGAGGCTCCCAAGTACAAGTGACCATATTGCTTTAGTTAGGCTACTGCAGAAAATGTCAGTGAATCACACAGTGGCATCATTACAAAGGATGAGTCACTTTGTCTCTGAGAAACCCCCGGAGTAATAATCTATAGGTAGCTCAGTGACTAAACTTAGATATTATATGACAGTGGCATACACAGGCAATTACTGTAGCACTCCAGATGCACCCGGTGGCCACACATTTATGCATCAATGAAACTTAACTGTATCTTTTAAATTATGCATGTGTAAAATACCTGAACCACAGCTACATTTAATAGTAAACTATATCGTGGTTCTGATGTAGTCTTAATTGAAGGTTTTGGTTCTTTGTTCTGATTCTTCATTCATTTGGTTTGACACTGTTGACTCTGGTTTGACATTGTGAGCCATATGTAAACAAAGTGTTGTAGTGGTTGGTCTAAGTGGCAGAAGTAGGATAACAGCTGCCTTTGATAGTGTACGTTTCATTTTAAGTCTCGATTACTTGCTTTTGTTTGCATTATACTTGAATTGTTCCTGGGCTTAAATCCTCCCTGTTACAGCATGTTCAGCAAGTTATGGGCGTATTAAAAACTGTGAAAGTTTAACAGGTTAAAACCAAACTAGGGGGAAAAAAAGAATCTGTGTTTTCCTTTTCCACTCTGTTTACCAACAACTAGCTGAACTTGCACCGAACTTGCACAAAGGCAAACACAGCTGAACATTCTCACCTCATTTTGAACATCCCTCCAAACTCATGGCTTTGTTATTGATATATTCTCTATCACAGTTGCACACAGTCCTGTTTTCCTGTAGTGACACAAAAACCGAGGCCTGTCACATGAAACAGGAAGGCACACCTCAACCCCCTAAAGTGCTTTGTGCCGCGGAAAACAATAAAAATCTGGCTGCCACCACAGAAGGAAAAACACATCACGTCGATGTGCTGTAACTCTGAATATATAGGAGTTCATATTAATCCGTTCGACTTGTTCTCATCACGGAAAAACTGTATTACAAGAGCAAAGCTGTCAAAGTTTAAGTGGCTGGTCTAAACAAGGGAGATGAGAAACACGATCACATTAATTAAACTGAATATACTTTAGTGTAACGTTTAGAATTTGATGGAATAACTTTTAGTGATTAATCAGTGTGTGTGTAGAGGACATGACAGGACATTATCCACTGCTGCTCTCATCCTATATTTTGGCTTTATTCAACCAAGATGTTGATTCATCTCATCATAGGAACCACATAGTCGTTGTTTACCCAGAAAACTGGTTGTCACATTGTGAAAGTGATTTGTTCCCCACATTTTACAACTTAAATGCAAAGTGGATCTGCCCTACTGAAGTATTTAAGACTGAATCTTCTTAGATATGTTTTTATCAGCTTGGACCATCTGGATTTGGGGATTTGCTTTCATCCAGATTTCTTCCTTTAGGGGTAACATTTGACTTGCACTGGAACTAGTGTGTGTGTGTGTGCATGTGTGTGTGCCTGTGTATGTTAGTTTGAGATTTAAGGGTCTGTCTGCTGATTGTGTAAAAGTAAAACCTAATTACATCCAATGTGCTTCAATGTTGTAAAACAGTAAAAACATGAGTCCATGGAGGTTGCTCATATTCCCATCAGTGCTCTATGTTCCAGAGATATCCTGATAAGTACATACAGTAGGTTACATGACATTGGGCGTTGGCCAAACTACTATAATAAATTCTCGGCTGTGTCATTAATGAGATTTTTGCACTATTCATGTTGTCCAAAGATGTTTTTGTTTGTTTTTCTAACAGGAAGCACCACCACTCTTTATAACAGTGTTTTTGATTATGGTCCAAAAAAATGGATGGACCACCAACTAGACTTGGAATTACATTTATTTACAAGTGTAATTTAAATTGACATTTAGAAAAAGAAAAATAATGATTTCCCCAAATCGTTCAGCCCCAGCTGTTAATTGATTTTCTATCAATCAGCTGGTTGATTAATCACCAAGCAGACGACACAAACTATTCAGGCAGTGCCGTACAGACTAGTCCAAAGGTCATACACATTGCAGCCACTTTGCCTTGTCACCATGCTAGTTGGCTGAGGATGTTTGGACAGGTAATGTTGTACAGTCTGATAGCTGCAGGTACAAAAGAGCACCTGCAGCACTCTGAACTTACACTCTCAGGTGATTGCTTAAAGACACTGCATTCGGGGTGAAGTTCACTTTAGTCCTATCCTCTGTCTTCTACCTCCAGGCTATTACATTTAGCCATTTAGTAGCCTGCAATGAGGAGTTGTATATCAAGAATAAATCGGCAGTTTCCTCAGATGTCCAGTCTTGCAACGTGTCCTGGAAGTCTTTTGTTGAGAACTTAGAAAGAAGTGTGTGTGATCTCTGCTTTTACTTCTTTTTACTGTTGTGTGGGTAGAGACAGAATCATGTGGGGGCTTGTATTGCTTTGTCTCACCTCCCTGCCTAAACTATATATTCTCAACACTATGGCAGGCCCTAATCATAGTAAACAGAAATGTGGCAGGCACAGGCATGAGTCCACCAGCAGCTCAAACTGACAGTTGCTGCTGGTGGACAGCAGAATGTAGGGCATTGGGCTTTGTGCAACGCGAGAGTGGGTTACCGTTCGTCCTTAAACTACACCATCAGAAAATTACATATTTTACATTTCTTGGATATCTCAAATATTTTCCTCCTAATAAAACTCTGCTGGTATGATCAGCCACTGTGTTTTTACTGTGGCCATTAAATCTTTATGTCCTCTCTCCTGTGTCATTCTCCTCCTGACTCTTTTATTCCTCTTTCAGATGATATTGACGGTGTACCTCAGTGATGGGGAACAGGCCGTGACTGAGGTGCCAATCACTCCTGAGACGACGTGCCGGGATGTTGTCGAGTTCTGCAAAGAGCCTGGCGAGAGCGGCTGCCACCTGGCCGAGGTCTGGAGAGGCAACGGTAAGAGCTGCTTGAAACTGTGCTGCTTGTTACAGAGAGCAAGAGCCCGAGTCACTGTTACAGGGGAAGAGCACTGCTGTCACCAGTAATGCATGAAGGTGAAGTAATCTGAAATTCCATTATCTCTTGAAGCTTGACACTTCACTTACATGCACAAGAATTTCATTTTATGTAGCCTTTAGCCTTCCTCATTAATGTAAAAACAAGCTCTTCATTAAAGAAAGAAATCCTAGCAGGACCATGCATGAATACCTGGGGGGAAATCATGGAGAAGCCAAAAAGTTTTACACCCTCAAGGAAAAGAAAGGTATCTGTTAACAAAAATAAATTTTCCTGTTCCCATCATCTATTATCGGACTAGAATAATTCACTTAAAGTACAAATTTGTGGGTCAGAAAAGGGTTACATGCTGCTATAGTCCACAGCACTGTCACAGCAGATTCCACTTGGCCCATGCGATTTGCTCCCATCACCACAGTCGTGCTGACATACCCAGTGTTATCAGCATTTTTCGCCGAGGGGCCACTCCCCTGTTGAAAACAACATCCTAGCCAAGGGCTTTATTAACCCACGTTATGCAATCATGTTCGCCTGGTGCCTGACAATGCAGCTGTCTGCCCCCGAAACCTCCTAAAACCTCTCTGTCTTTGTCTCTGTCTCTTTGTCTCTCGGCCTCTCTTTGCCCACAGAGTGCCGTCCTCTTGAAACGTGGAAAAAAAGTTTTAGCACACCTCCATCAATCTCAACGGTCCCAGTTTTCCTAGAGATATGAGCACTTGATTTAATTCTTAAAAAACTCCATGCTGCAAGACAGTTTATGTGTTGTTCTTTACTTTATTCGCTAGTTTTTCAATTATGGCAGTTTGTCAGAAGAGTAACACCAAAAGCACACAATCTCCCCCACAAAGTTTGCATTGGCCTGCAGTGCGACAGCTGTATTGTGGGTTAATTAACTTAACTAAGTAAAGAGGCAAAAATAATTAATCACATCACACAAAATCCATGAAAAGGTATGGTAAGCTATATCCAGCTAGGAGACCTGACCGGATTAAACAAACTAAATATTTAAATGAGTGCTGGCAAGTGGATTTTGTTATCTTTTGGAAAGCGCCAGACTAGCCATTAGCTGTTGAGTCTTTGTGCTAAGCTAAGCTAACCAGCGGCTGGCTTTAGCGTTATACTTAACAGACCGATATAAAAGTGGTTAATTTACCAAAGTGTCAATTTCATTTCTTTAAACAACATGGCCATGAGACAAATATGTTTAACTAATCAGTCTTTCCTCCTTTTCCCTAACTGTTCTGTCTCTGCAGAGCGAGCGATTCCCTTTGAACACATGATGTATGAACATCTGCAGAAATGGGGGCCTCGGAAACAAGAAGTCAAATTCTTCCTCCGGCATGAAGATTCACCAACTGAAAGCAGTGATCAAGGTGCATATTATCATGTTCCTGCTCTGTGTAGTATCTACCTGAAGGAGCCTGAAGGTAAAGGGTGGAGTCGAGGGTTTTCAGGGAATTCCTGACACCTGTTCTGCCTGACTGCTCACCTATAGACGCTGATGTCAGTCAGTGTCTCTCTCTCTCTCTCCCTTTCTCACCCTGGTGTCTAAAGTCTTTTAGCTTTTGTTTGCTTTCTTGCCTTTGTTACACCTTCAAGCACTTGAGCACCACATTTTACCTTTACTCGTGCACCTCACACACCAAAGTTGCTGCTGATGGACACATCTAAGCAACTCTCTTGTTGTATCAACTTAAGTATCAAACCATATTGGTGTTATTTTTGTCTTTGAACCAGGTTGTAACAGTACACATACTCTGTCAACACGGTTTTTATGTGGTATCCTTTTGTATTAACATTGTAAAAGACTGGGTTGGATGAAAAAACTAAGTTTAATTGATGCTAGATGGGGCTTGCCAAAGGAATAAATCATTGCTCAGTTTTCACACACACTGCATTAACATTAATCCTTTTGGATTTGTGTTTGGAGTACAGCCATGTAAAAAGCCAGGTGTAAAATGCCCCCAAGCTTAAAATCAATCAACCAGCTTTGCACAAGATCAAGGGACTTGCATTCATTCCTTTGGAATTTAATTGAAGTCTGCATACATGTGTAGACATATAAAGGAAGTACACTCAAAATTATTGGGTGGCACAGGAACAATCTCATTATGATGTGATCATGATCTGATTCATGTTTTGTGTACATTTTGAAGCGTATTTTACCATCAAGATAACCGGTGATTTTTAGAAGTAAAGCAGAAGTGGCCAGTTCTAAATCATTTACTCTCATATTTCCGTCAAGCCTTTCTTATAAAAAAGTTGGAGTTAAGTGGCTTTAGTCAGCAGTGCTTGTCCCAGTTCTTAAATCCCTTGTCATGTGCAATCACATCAGTGAATTTTCCAACTATTCCTGACAGTGGTTGTAGCCTCTGAATCTGCACTTGTCTGTGCACACTTGTGTGTCTCTGCCCTGCCTGCGTTTGTGATGGTGACTGTTTCATTTTTGCAGGGAGTCAGCAGTCTCAGGATCAGACGAGTCGCAGAAGTGGAAACACTGGAGAGAAGCACAATGAGAATGGGGTGAGACTTAATTAGCACTATCTAAATGATGTACTTGAAATTACTTATATTGTAATTTGGTGCCTTGTTTTATGGGTAGATAAGAGGGTTAGAATAAAATTAATATAAGTATGTAACACAAAGAGTTTATTTAGTATATTTGTGTCTGTGTGTGTGTGTGTGTGTGTGTGTGTGTGTGTGTGTCTGTGTGTGTGTGTGTGTGTAACGGCTTTTTTTAACAACTGATTATGAAATCCCTCAATTATATATAGAAGAAAAACCCAAAGAGTGCAGTTATGTAATGGGAGAGACAAAACAAAGAAAAACTATATAAATAACACAATTATTAACATAAAATTGACACACAAAATTGGTTTAAAATTCAATCTTCCCAAAGTCTGTTTTGTAAGTTCTACTTTATTAGCAAGTGTCTTTTTTTACAACATTCAACATTAGTGAGGACTGTTAAGTTTGCATTTCAGGTGGAAAAAATGGAAGCTAGCAAGGAAGCTTAACTAACTTTCAAATAGAGGGCTGGAAGCTCCTCTCTGAAGGTCTACATTAGCACTGAATCCTACGAGATGAAGAGCTGCTGAGTGTCATTGTCAGTCTGTGGCACACTGTGTTGTATTCGTCACACGTTATAGAAAGGAGGGGGAACTAGCTAAAATGAGCTCTTATTCATCACACCACATCACTCCATACATTACCTCGCAATTGTAGTCATATCATTTTACTGCCTGCCTGAGATGCTGCCTGTTTACTGTGTGGCAGCAGCTTTTGGGTTTTCATTGTACAATAATGACATAACTCCAGTCTCTGGTATGAGCTAAAAGTATCAATATCTGTGGATACATAATGATTCTAATATTTAGTCGGTGTTTGGGAGTAACATCACAGGCTCTGGTGTTACAGGACTGTTCCACTTCCACACACTGCCAGTATTTCCCTGTCAGGTGAACCCACTGTTGTGCATGTTGAGCTTTAGCTTTATGAAGTGTGTGCTAGGAGAACGTGAATGACTCGGATAAGAGCCGCCTCTGGCGTGGCATCCTTTCTCTCTCCAACCATCTGTCCCAGATTTCACAATAGGAAAGTGTTGCGGTCAAGGAATCGTAACTAATTCAACCTTAAGGGTGGAGGAAATAATCCGGCGCAGCAGGAGATGGAGGGGTTGTGGTTTTTGTTTTCAAAAAAAGATTGTAGCACAAGAGCACCCAGAAGCTATCCTTTTATTATCCTGAAAATCCACAACCTTTGACTCTGTTTGTGTTAAGGAAGTAATTTAATATATATTTTTATGGATATTAAAAATCTGCTATTGACTGACTCTCCAAGCGACAGTTTAAATGCAACCAATATAATGCTACTGAGCTATAAAACCCACACCACAGCATAGCAAGTAAAAGCCATTGGTTCCACTTTTGGTTCACTAAAAGAGAAAAACATCAGCATCATGCCCGGCTCTGCTTAACCTTCCAAGTGCCGAGGCTCATTTGTGTCCGAGTTTCTTCATAATATCTGATTTAGAGGATTATATCAGACAGCCTACTGGATGATATAACGGTCCCTAAGAGGATCATTGCTTTGGCTTTTCCACGGGCTGCTGCCCAAACCCCAGGGGCTTTCTCTCCACCAAGCAGAGCTGATCATCCTCTGACGGGGACATTGCCTCGTAAAGAGCAGAGGTGCCTCAAGGGAACGCTACAGTTATCGCACGCATTTAAAAAGAAATTGTAACATCGCAATTTTAGCTTCCATAGTTGATGATAAACTCTTATTGGCAGTATTGAAACATCTCAATTCATTTGCCAAAAGCTGAAATAACTGTTTGATAATTGATTAAATAGATTTTTTAAAGCAAAAATACCAAACATTGTCTGGTTCCAGCTTCAACTGTGAGGATTTGCTGCCATTTATGATTAATTGAATATCTTGCACAACAAGCAATTACAAGACGTTGCCATGGGCTTTTTTAAAAATTTTTATTTAACGCTCAAATTGAAAATAGTTATAATATTAATCGATAATATAAAATGATCAATAGTTGCTGGCCTATATTTGCCAATGTCAGTGAGCTCTAGGGCTTCAACTAAGGATTATTTGCATTATGTGTTAATCTGCAGTTTATTTTCTTTATTTATTAATTTATTAATCTTTTGGTCTATAAAATATTAGATAATAGTGGAAATCAGAATCAGAAATACTTTAATAATCCCAGGGGGAAATTACTTTAGTTACCTACTCCAGAACATATAATATATTAAGAATATATTTTTTTTATATATATATATATGTATATATATATATATATATACACATATATTAAGGTTTAAATGTACAGTTTAAAATGTGCAAAAATGATTGTCCATGTTTGAGGTCAGATTACAGAGAGAGGGTGTCTGACTCTCTGAGGGAGGCGTTGTAGAGTTTGATGACCACAGGCAGGAATGATTTCCTGTGGTGCATCTGGGTGAGAGTAAAAAAAGCTGTTCACAATTTCCTTTAGCCCAAGATCACATTCAGTAGATAACATGTTTCAGTCCAAAACCCAAAGACATTTAGTTTACTATCTAAGAAACTGTTAACAGGATGAATCTATTATATAAAGTAGCTGTCAATCAAATTCAGTCTTCAGTTTGCTACTTCAGAACATTATTTCATGATTAATAGTCATGAATAACTTTTTTTTATTCTGAAACATTATTCTGCATATCTTTTTAATACTAGAATAATTCTAGCCATAATCATGGGTCGCTCTCCATTTCTCTACTGTTGAATAATGTAATCTCCCAGTAGGGCTACAGCCCTCGTCAGGGATGCTGTGGGTGCTCTGTCTCCCTTCCTGGTCTGCTTCGTTGGGTGTTTCTCCAACTCCCTCTTTATCACTGTCTGAGGGTGTGTGTGTCTGTTTCTCCCTCGGGTGAATTGTCACTGATGCAGTGTTGCCTGAGTGCACTTGAGCGTGTCTGTATGTGTGCCAGTGGCTTCCCCCGCTCTCCCCATCTCGACCTCGGTTGAGTCACCTCCACCCCTCCCCCCTCCGAGTCTTTCCACACATTTCTTATATCTAAATGCTTTAACAAATACCAGGTAGGAAAACAATGCAATGTCTGCGCTGATTGTCTTCAGAGATGAGATGATGTATGACATGTACACTATTGTTGCTTCACTTCACAATACCATAAAAGTCTTACTATTCCCGAAAAGAAGGATATTTTATTCAGACAAGATGAGTCACAAAAATGTCTGCCTCTTATAATCGAGAAGAAGCAGTTCATACAATATTTTTTGTCTTTTGCATGCCATGTTTATTTATGTCTACAGCTTTGTGCACACACGTTTACGATCATATCACGCAAACTGCAAAGCTTGAACTTAACATAACATAGACTTAAACTAATATATTTTTCATGTCATCATCCGTTCTATGCCTCTTACAAACCTCTTCATGTTTAAAAGAATGATCCCTCTGAACTAGTACTCTACATTTCTCAGTCTGTTATTGAAAAAAACACACCATGACATTTCCTGCATCGTCTCCTCCCTCTTTGAACACACTTCCTAAAGGCAAAGTCTAGGAGCGTTTGAGCATTTCAGTACCGCTTGCAGTTCAGAGGACTGTATATTCACTGCTCACTCAGTATGCTGTTTCATTGGAGAGTAGTCTGCCAGTGTGTCGACTCTAGCAACTACTTTGAGGAGGTTCAGAGGTCTGTAGAATGATAGTTTGTGGGAAAAACAGAATTGAATGTGATAGTCTTCATCTATTCTGTGAGCGAGAACAACACATGGGTGCTGATTTCTGGCCCAAGAGGAGGACTTCATTGAAAATGTTTATGGAGGTGAACCATTTTTTTTCTCTTGGCAAAATGACTTAAACAATGAATTAATTCAGCTGTGACAAATGCCAAACATTCCCTTGTGTATGATTGTTAGGATTTGCAGCCTTTCAGTCTCTTTTGGGTTAGTAAACTTTAAATCTTTTAAGGAGATCTCCACTGACTTTATACATCAAAGTCGGTTTGTCTTGGGAGTGCTACTGCATATATCAAAAAAGTTGTATAAAGCCTTTTGTGGCTCCGGGGGAGTTCTGGGAAATGTAATAAATTAAGTCAGTTGTGGCTGAAGACTAAGAAATTGGAGGTGTGGAGTTGAAAAGAAGTGAGCTCACCTCATCTTCATCTCTGCTCGATGCTACATTAAGATTAGCAGATTAGCCACTACTAGTATAACACACCTGAATCTGTGACTGAACTGCCTGCCATCGAGTTGCATTGTGGGTAATGTGGGCATCAGGTTTTGACAAGAAAGAAGAATACATGGAATAAATAGATACTGTTTATGATTTTACGGCATCGATTTTGATCTTTTAACTGTCCATCGTGAGTCTGATGGTGTTAAAGGAGTGTGATGCTAAATCAGTGGAGTACCACTTAATAATGAAATCGATAATGAAAGGAATCATTAGGCCCCAATTACTTAATGTGAATTGGGCTTTTAGGAAAACCATGATTACTAATGATAATGGCAGTGTTTTTGCAACATCAATAAATTGGAATCTATCATTGTGATAGAACTTGTACTGGGATCCACTCGTTGCTCTAAAACACCAGTATTAAAGTATTAAAGACATCTTAAAGACCCTCCATCATGCACAAAAATTTATACTTTTTATTTTTTACAACTGGCAATTGACACATTTTCCCTCGAGCCTCAAGTCTTCTGCTCACTAGCTGAGTCTTGTCACAATTAATGTCCCATCATAATGATGTTTGGAGCCTTGTTGTGGAAGGAAGGAGAGCCCGACCCTCACTGCTGTTGAGTCTCCTGCTGTTTGCCCCCCTGGCTGCTGAAGTCAGACATCTTTTTAAAATCATTTTCGGCAAATGGCTTTTTTGCGAAACTTGTTTCTTTGTACTTGTTTCTTTGTTCTTGTGTTTTTATTCTTATGTAACGGTTTAGCTTATGTAACTTTTTATGGCGGATGTATTTTTCTGCACTTACTTACTTGCATATTTGTCTAAAAAAGTGCTATTATATCAAACATTTACCTGTGTATTGGTAACATACACAAAGATACAAGACACTTCCCCAGCTCTCACAGGTGAGTAGCTATTACTGAGAAGAATTTAACTTTTACTCAGAGCTACTAAATGTTGTTTTGGCTGGAGGAAGAGTCACGTAAGTCCTTGTAAGTGTGTCATCGTACTCATAGCAGCTCCCACAGGGCAAAAAAAATGAATCTTGAGTCATGCCTGTGCTTGAATCAAACGACTTTTAATATGAGGAAGATAGGACGATAGGAGTTTTGGGCTTATTGCACAACATTTTATATAAATTAGTTTTTCTCCTCATGAATGGAAACTTTCAGTGTTGAACACCCTTACTGTTTGAAATTATAAAAAATCCTTTATTATATCCTTTATTTATGTATGGGTGACCTGCTCAGATTTCAGTGTATTGACCAGTTCTGGTATATATATATCGTGTGTGTGTTTAGGTGGGGAACCAGCGTGTGGAGCTCACTCTGTCAGAGCTGCAGGAGATGGCTACGCGGCAGCAGCAACAAATCGAGGCTCAGCAGCAGATGCTTGTTGCAAAGGTAACGTCTTGTCTCAATATGAATCATTCCTCTCGAATATTATAAAGTTCTTTCATTCAAAATATGCTTCTTATTAATAATAAAACAGCAGTAACATCAGAAGGTTCACAGGTCCTCTACATAGTGTGAGGCACACCACAAGCTGCAGTATCTTTCTTCTTTTCCAGTTTAAATTGTTAAATCTGAAGCACTTTGTCACCTCAGAATTGTAGAAATCATACCATTCAATTGGACATTCTTTAAACCTAAATGTTATGTTCTTGCTGGGACCAGACTACACAATATTTTGCCTTTTTAAGATAGTGACTAAATTAGAATTATTGCAGTAACTTGGCTGAGAGACATGGAAGACTATGTGTTGCAGCCTGACCCATTATAGCGTGTCATTATTCTTGTTGTTGTATGACATATTAGTGGAAGGGTGCAGGTTGGTCTGATGTAGTGTGATCCGACAGACACAGACTGGGCGGTAGTTCACGGCCTCAGCAGGCCAAGTAAGTTCAGGAGAAAATTGACTACTGTTGCACTACTTCCATCCAAAGAGTCCAATGGACTTGAAACAGGGGCAAACGGTTATATAACGAATGACGAGATGGGAGGCAGTGTGAGTCACTGTGCTAGTATTGTCTGGTCTGTCATAATTCATATTTAGTCTTTATAGGAACACGTGGACAGACATTTCATGTTATGTATCATGATTTTGAACACTAAGGATTCTGCCTTTCCCAGACAGATTACTTCTCTACAGCGCTTATAAAAAAGTAGATTTTGTCTGGTAACGGAGTTTGGTGGCAAACCTCCACACGACCAGTCTACCTTGTCAGTCTCGGTGGCTTTTCAGCAAACTAACTAAGTCTGACCACCGTGCGTGTGGTGTGTTGATCAGTCATGCAGGATGAAGCCCACTGCAGACCCGCAGATAGAAAAGACGATTTATTGCCTTTGTTGTGGCGTCTGAAAAGTAGGCCCCACTTGAAGCCCTGCAGTCATTTGGAAACCTGGGCCTGTCATTTCCTATTTTAGGACCTTAACTAGAGCAATTCTCAGTTGGGTGGAGAGATGAAGTCATCTGACCCTTTCTTCAGTCTTCAGACAGTCTTGACACAGCACAGCATTTCATTTAGTGCATACAGTAGAGAGATTTAGCCTAGTTTTAAGGTTATGTCTGCCAGTGAGATATCCTGTAAGCCTTGGGGCGGTGTCTTGCATGTTTTATATTCTTGTGTGTTTTATTTTTGGCTTATAAAAGTACCATTGAACAGATAAAATAAGGTTTTATCTTTAGTATTTCCTTCCAAACTTGCAAAAGCAGGTAGCATTGACTGTGCGTTATTGAATGCAGTTTGTTTACCTGTTTTTCTACAAAATGTCAATCTCTGTCTCGTTCTCTGAAGGAGCAACGTTTGCGTTACCTGAAGCAGCAGGAGCGTCGTCAGCAGCAAACCGTTTCAGAGAGCGAGAAGCTGCAGAGGCTGAAGGATCGTGTGGAGAACCAGGAGGCAAAGCTCAAGAAGATTCGGGCAATGAGAGGCCAGGTTGACTACAGCAAGGTCATCAATGGCAACCTGTGTACGTATACTTTCTGCAAAATAAATTTTTCATGCAACATGCGGCAACATTTTGACCAAGGTTGTGCCTCGTAACAAAAATATTCACCTAGGTTATGAATGAGCTGATGCGATCCTTTCCTTTCTCACATCCAGCTGCAGAAATTGAGCAAGTCAGCAGCCTGTTCCAAGAGAAGCAGGCTGAGCTACAGTCTGCTGTGCTGAGGGTGGAGCAGCTCAGCCTCCAGCTGGAGGACTTGCGGAGGGGGAAGCTCAACGGCATACAGACTGCCCTGGGTGGCCAAGTAACCGGTGCTGCAGCCCTAGAGCTCCGTAAACTCTACCAGGAGCTTCAGGTACTGTGTAGTCGACATAATTTCAACATCTAGTGAATGCTTTTAATCGATTCCACCAACTTTACTTTACCTCTGACTCCAGTGATGGCAATATCTAGTGAATCTGTACGTGTTTATCCTCCACAGATCCGCAACAAGTTGAACCAGGAGCAAAACAGCAAGCTGCAGCAACAGAAGGAACTTCTCAACAAACGCAACATGGAAGTGACACTCATGGACAAGCGCATCAGCGATCTGAGGGAACGCCTCTACAAGAAAAAAGCTGAGGCACGTCAAAAAGAGAACCTTCCTGTAAGAGTGAGAGCGCTTAACACATCTTCTTATTAAGACTCTTTTAGCTGAAATATTTCTGACAAAATTGTGCTGTCTCTGTGACAAGTCAGTCCAGATCCACTACATGTTCAATATAATGTGAAGTTCTTTTAGCCTTTCAAGTCTTGGTGGGAACGTGTGGATAAAGTTAGTTGCTCATGTCCCTGGGGGGCTCCGTAAACCATCTGCAGATAAAAAATCATTTCTGGTGACTACGAAACTTATAAAATTGTTTTCCACTGTCAACCCTTCCAACATTTTAAACTGCTCTGACTTTCTCTTCTTATAGCTGAACAGAGCAAACGGGCCTCCCTCTCCCCAGCCAGCTCCTGGTACTCTGGGCCGTGTCGCTGCTGTCGGGCCGTACATCCAAGTCCCCGTACCGGGCCGACAGGAAGGAGGCTACACCATACCACCTGATCCACTGAAACCTCAGACTCTGGGCGTTAATAACCAAGCCAACCACGGGCGCACCAAGTCAGGTTGGTTGAAACCCATAAAATTACATTTGCAGACAAATAGTGAAGCACAACTGTAATGGTGCAAGTTTTAACTGACTTGTGTTTTTTTCCTCATCAAGAAAGCAGGAACATGGACAGTTAGACAAATAAATAAAAAAAACACATTAAGAGCTCCAGAGAGTAGATGCATACAGTCCCAGAGGCAGTCTTACACCACTACCCATTTAACACATCTCTGCATGAAAAGCTTGTGACTGTTATTCCCTCTTGAGCCTCAACTGTTACTCTGTTTCCTTTCTACACGACTTCTCAGTTAATTCTCCGCCTGGACTTGATTTCTGTGATTTTTCCTTCCTCTCTAACCTCCTTCTCTTCCTGTGTTGTGTATACTGTGATTATCTTTCTTTTCTCTCCTCCTCTTACGTGTCTATGCTGTCCTGTCTTCATACTGTCTCTGTTTCGCTGGGTGTGGGGTTTGGGGCAACTGTTCCTGGGGCAGACGGTGTGCGAAAGCCTCCTGGCCCTTGGAAAGTGTCTGATTTAGACATCGTTGTGGACCCGGTACCCCCGCCCCTTCCAGAATCACACCCGAGCACCGGAGCCTCCACTGGCTCTGACGGCACGTCCCGTGAGTGCGCAGTGCTGCATAAGCAGAGGGTTGGCACTTCCTGAACCTTCTCTCTCGACTGTAGCACAGGATCCTCAGCATGCACTGGAGTTTTTACTCCAAACAGCAATTTTCTCTTATAAATATCGTCAGTTTAATTGATCAGGAAGTTAAGAAAAATTGTGTTCTGCCCAGTCACACCTTGAGCCACCGACACTCTCACAAACAGATGTTTTTATGCTCCACAACATTTCTTCACCAGACAACTGAAAGCTTAGATGCACAGCTGGGGATTGTGAGAAGGAGATGAGCATCTGTGCCTGGTTTACTTGAGTAATTACCGACTAATGGAAGCATCCTTGTTTGGCATCATCAAGCTCTCCTGCCAGTGCACCATTGAGCCAGTTTTTCTGAACTGGAGAGAGAACACGTTGACATTTCATTTGGAGGGTTTTCTCTGTGGATTGGCTAATGACGTCAAACTAGTGGCGATGCCATCTTGAAACACTTTGCTGCCATCTGCAGAAATGTTTCACTCTTAATTGTAGCTGAAGCTCATATGAACACTGACAAAGCGCTGCTGATCCTGTGTGTTTGTACACTTCTGAGAAGGTTCAATAAGTTCAGTGCCTCATTAATTTACACATGCAAAGCATTTGGGCTTTGTTCTAATTTCATAACATTTCCAGCCTCCCTAACCTTAACCTTCACACCACGTTCTCACAACAACCAAGCTGTGAGAATCACTTTTTAAGTTATCAAACACTCAACATGCACAAGAGATTAACTTGTACATGTTAAAATGTCATTGGATTCATTGAGCAGCTGTCACTCCTGATAATCTGCAAAGACCCAGATCAAACTGTTTCCTTTTAGACTCAGTGTTGGTAGAACTAGTATTAGTAAATGCTGTGATTGGCTTTTGAGACTTTTTGGGGTCCATCATGAGTCATCTGCCACACTGCAGCTTTATTCACGTCATATTATACAAACAAATTCCTGTTGAATCGTACTACAACTATTGCTGTTGTTTTGTTGTGTCTTCTTTATCCATCCTTTCTTTTCAACCTATCCCTGCTGCCTAAGGGTGCATGTTTTATCTTGCACCTATATTTTTAAAGTAAACAGTTTAGTCTTGGAGACAAACAGTACTCGTATTAGTGGCAGTACTTACTATGCATCCCTCAATCTTCTACTAAATCACATTTTGTTTCTATTTACCAAATATAACAAAATTAAAACACTACATGACTAGATACAAGTACACTAAAGCAAAATACTAATGCAGATACATTCATTTCCATCATGGCTCAGGATTTTTGTCCTATTGATCAACAACCCCTCTTGAAACATTACAGCCTCAGTTACTTTGAGAATAAAGTCCCTTGTGCAACAAATTAGTAAATATTGTGATATGCCAGGTGTGTCTGGCCACATGGACCTGCAAAAGAGAATGTAAATGTTGAAATGTGCCTATAGCAGGAGCATTCAATCTGTATTTATCGTCAGCGTTTAAATGTCTTTTAATAGTGTCTGGTTAATAGGATAGGCTTCTCAAAATCCTGAACCATCCATTTAATGCCAATCCTAGGTCAAAATGGTACACACATATATGTTCTGTGTTTATAAAATATTCCACTTACTAATGTTCTTCAAATGCCATCAATAATATTAAATTTTATGTGATCACACAAAGTGACACTTTTCAAATATAAAAAAATAAGAAAATGGTACCATTTAGACCTAGCTCTGGTGGACATGCTTTGTCACTATCCTGAGTTGTAAAACATGCTCATGCTTCTCATGCCACCTTAATCATTGGGTCTTTTTTCTCTTTTGCAACCCACTTACTGTGTCCTGTTTGTGCCTTAGCTAATGATACTGGTTGGCCTACTGTGGGCAAGACCAACACAACCCTAAAGCCTCCTGAGAGACGAGACTCAGGGACTGATAACCAGGGCAAGAGCCCTCCCTCAGGCTCCCCCGGTGCTCCAAGTGCAGAAAAGGTTAGTCCTCTTTCTTCGTGCTCTAAGTGTCATAAAGTGTTGATTAAATTTAGCCTTAGATTGCTGGATCTTTTGTGTGTAATTTCATGCTTCTATACAGGTGCTAGAATCCAAAATGGCTGTGTCCTCCCCTGCCATATCCAAGCCCCAGCCGCCTCCCTATGGCTCCCACCTCATCTCTGCAAACTCAGCCACCACCTTGGATCGCCGCAAGGACGCACCACCTCCTCCTCGCCCGCTCCCAAACCCACCAGCTCTGGCTTGGCCCCGCGTCCCCCCCTCCACAGGCTCATCCTCCCAGCAGATCCAGCAGCGCATCTCAGTGCCACCAAGCCCCACCTTCCAGCCCAACGCACCGCTTTTCCCCCCTGGGCTGAGCGAGCGACTGGATCCTCCGCCAGCTGTTGCAGTTCGCCCCTTTATTCCAGACAGAGGATCGCGGCCTCAGTCGCCCCGAAAGGGCCCACCTACCATGAACTCCAGCTCAATCTATCACATGTACCTCCAGCAGGCAGCGCCAAAGAGCCAGCCACTCAAGCCTGCTCTCAAAGCAGGTAAGAGCTGGATGTGAATGGATGGCCCAGTATGTGCGGCCTCACTGTAAAATTCCATTAGAGAAAATGGGTTTTCATGATTGGGTAGTTTTGTAGTCCTTTGAACCGTGCTTTATTTTCTGTATGTGATATAGTGCCTCAGTATTGCTGACACTTAATAGATCCACTTTTGTCTTCTAAGATAAAAATGAATAAAATGATCATTTGGCCAATGAGACTTTGATTTAAGGCACAGCAGATAGTATTTTCAAGTTACCATACATCTTATGTCAGTTAAAGGAGAATGAATAAGTCAATTGATCATTTTGTGAATTGTTTATTTATATGGGCATAGTTACAGATAAAAATCAAAAGAAACAAAGTGGTCAGTGACACATAAACAAGTCGCTGTTAAATATACAACAATTACTATATATATATAAATTATATATATATATATATATATATTGATAAATGTTATACCTTTTTATGTTCTGGATTGGGAGAACAAAATAAAAAACTGGAAACTTTGACATTGTAGACTGCTGACTAATCGATTCCTTGACAGGTAAATTAATAACGGAAATACTGATGATGTCGAAGCCCAATATAATTCCACTCTCTCTGTTTGTCTCTAGTATATGGGAAGCCTGTTTTCCCCCCCAGCTCGACACCTCCCTCGCCCCTACCTTTTGTTCAGGCTGGAGGAGCCTTCCCATTGCTCCAAGGCCAGCCCAGTGGCGAGGATACTTTTGATGGAGAATTTGATGATCACGATTGCTTCCAGCACCCGGAGCCCTTAGCGCCACCTCCCAGTGTGGAGAACATCCCACGACCACTCAGCCCTACTAAGCTAACACCCATGGTACACTCCCCGCTGCGCTACCAAAGTGACGCCGATCTCGAGGTGCTCCGTAAAAAGCTAGCCAACGCTCCGAGACCGCTCAAGAAGCGCAGCTCCATCACAGAACCCGAGGGTCCCAGCGGACCCAACATCCAGAAACTGCTCTACCAGAGATTCAACACTCTAGCAGGAGGCATAGAGGGAAATGGAGTCAGTGGATCAGGAGGTGGCAACAGTGCAGGTAACGGAACACCATTTTATCAGCCAGCTAATCCTCCTGGTTATCTGGGAGACGACTCTGTGGCGGATACAGACAATGGCAACATCCCCTCTGAGACGCAGCTACTGCCGCCACCAGGGGTGGAGGATCCGGGCTCAGAGGCTCCACCTCCATCCACTGACGCCAATGACAATGAGCCACTGCCCTCGCCACCAGAAGGGCTGGGGGATCCTGCTGAAGCAGAGGAACCGGAGGACGACGACAACAACAACAACGTGGGAGGTTCTGAGGCGTCGCTGCCCAGTCCCGTGCTGGAGGTCACCACTCCAGAAGAGAGTGACACGGCGCTCTCACAGCCCCTGGTAAAAGACACATACACACAGATTTATTATTGCATTTAAAGAGTTGCGTTTTCAATGAATGAATCTGTAACTCATGCTTCCGCTCTCCACTCTTACAGGAGAAGCGCACAAACCTGAAGAAGCCAAACTCAGAGCGCACTGGCCACGGCTTCAGGGTTAAGTTCAACCCTCTGGCTCTCCTGCTGGACGCCTCTTTGGAGGGAGAGTTTGACCTCGTCCAGAGGATTATCTATGAGGTATGTCAAGACTATGTGAGTATACTTTAATTTATTTGTATTTGCATGTAGGATAAGCACTCATCTTTTCATCTGGGTCCTTTTTTTAATTTTGTTTTCCAGGTGGAGAATCCTAGCACTCCCAATGATGAGGGCATCACACCCCTGCACAACGCAGTGTGTGCGGGGCATCACCACATAGTGAAGTTCTTGCTGGATTTTGGTGTGAACGTCAACGCTGCAGACAGTGATGGATGGTGAGAGGACGACACAAATTCTATTTGGCATGATCGGCTGTGGCACTGTACTGTATCATTTACATTTATCAAAATTGATGTTTGTTTTTCTGTTTTGTGTTTGTCGGGAACAGGACTCCGCTTCACTGTGCCGCCTCCTGCAACAGTGTCCATCTCTGCAAGTTGCTCGTTGAGTCAGGGGCCGCGATCTTTGCCAGCACCATCAGTGACGTGGAGACTGCTGCAGATAAATGCGAGGAAATGGAGGAGGGCTACATCCAGTGTTCCCAGTTTCTATATGGTGAGAAATAACCCACCTGTCAGTCTGGCTTGCACAAGTGTAATTCCAAAAGCACTAGTTCACTTCAGAATTCAAGTTTTGTCATTGTCTCTCCAACTCTGTCAGTCCAAACTTGACTGAGTTTTGTACAAAGACGTGGCAAATCAGCCCCATAAGGATCGACCTCTGTAAGGTAACTTGGTTATCTTGATTTCATCCATATTTGACTGTTTGTTTGTTTTGGACTCTCTTACGCAGGTGTTCAGGAGAAGTTGGGTGTAATGAACAAGGGGACGGTGTACGCTCTGTGGGATTATAAAGCTCAGAACCAGGACGAGCTGGTGTTCAGCGAGGGGGACGCCATCACTATTCTGCGACGACAGGATGACAGTGAGACAGAGTGGTGGTGGGCACGACTCGAGGACAAAGAGGGCTACGTGCCCCGCAACCTGCTGGGGGTAAAAACAAAATACATTATTTGTCACATTTCAGCCTTATTAGCTTACCAGTAGGTTTAATTTAAGTTGCCAATGCTAGGGCTAATTATCAGTGCATTTCTTTTCCCATCTTCCAAATTCCAAAAGGACCTGCTCTATATTAAAAAAAAAAAAAGAAAGTGTCCTGAGATAACTTAATAATATTGATTTAAATCAATTGAATTTAACTGAAAATGTTGTGTTTTTATTTGTATATCCAGATGAATGACTGTAGAGCTGAAATAATGAGTGGATTCATCAATTAGTCGCTGGACAGAAAACCAATTTTTTTTGATAAATGATTAATTTGTTTAAAGTTTCAAGCCTTTTTAACCTCTGCTTAGATGTTATTGATTGCTGTTGCTGTTATTTGTTAAAGTTATTGATTCTGACAAATGAACATTTAATAACAGAGAAAAGATTGATAATATTAAGTCAATGAATCCAGTTTTTTGTCTAGCTCAAGTCATGGAGTACAAATGTTTTCAATAAGGCATTGAAAAGAAAAATCTGTAACCGTTGCAAGGATGTCAGTGAGAAAGTACATAACAACAAACACAGGCAAGTCAAATTAATCATATTAAATATTTCTCCTCTTTCTGTTTTCTTTTGCAGCTCTATCCAAGGATCAAGCCTCGTCAGCGTTCCCTGGCGTAGTTTCTCACTCCACTGACCTCTGGCTAACAGCTGGACTAGTGACAAAACCAAGAGCAGAGAACAAAAGAGCCTGGTGCTCGGTCTTCTTCCCGTGGCCATAACCTCCCCCCCGGCCTTGTGCTTCTCACAAAATCCTTTACTCTGAAGCCGTGGGCATCGAACTTTGACACACATATTCACATCTGCACACACACACACAAACACACACAACGAAACACAAGCACTCCAAATAGAAAATCTCTAATACCACTCCATCCTGACACCCCCCCCCGCCGCCTCCACATACACACCATTCAACCTATTGATCTGTCAATTTCCCAAGTTGATTTTTCCCCAACTCAGTGTCAGCTCTGTATAAGACATCAACTTGAAGAATAAAACACTAACCCATGACTCAATATGTCATTCATTACATATTTGTTCACTCTTCTTCAGCCATCTCCATCTCCCTAATGCGTTATATGGTGACACTTGGTTTACATGACACTTTTTGATGACTGGAAAAATAATCTCTAATGATGAGAAGTTGCTGATATTTGTCAGTGAAATGTAATTTGAGTTATAACACATTGCGTGTTTTTTGTATTATTCCAATTTGCCCCTTGCACGAAAAAAAATCTCTTAACACAGAAAACTGTTTGATTTTTCTGTAGTCTAACCACCAAAGATAAAAGATAAATATAGATTTAACAGTTTTAATTCTGTTTAAATCCCCCCCCCCCAGGAATTTGCAGAATTGTTGTGGAGTGAGATAATCAATTGATTTGCTGCTATCAATAAAAAAACAGTTCCTAGGAGTTGATCAAAAGTCCCTGTAGATAGAAAATGGATTGGGGGGGAAAATAGAAAATGCAAGTCCTCAGTATTAACTACAGTCAGAACAAATCCAACTTATTAAAGCTGAAGATGAATATTTATTGACAGCTCACAAATTGTCACGAATCACATTTCATGAACATCATCGCAAGAATGTGTTTTTCATTCAGTGTCATCTGTGCAGAATGTGGACCAGAATGTGTAGCTTCAGACCATAAACCACGAGACTTCAACATGTATCAGTGTATCACAGTTTGTATTATTTGGTCGTCTGATTATCCCTAAAAGGAACTGCTCATATGCTGCAAAATATATTGTCATGAAAATGGGAAACAAACAGTATTTTTCTTTACCACAAAAGGTAACCAAATTGAGAAGCTGTCTCTATAGAGTGTGTGTAAAGGTCACAAATGATATTTTACCTTAAGGTATTGCAGGAAGTGTTTTATAACATTTAATACCACTGTGGTGAGGCAGACAAGAATCAGCTTCAGAGACACAAGGATGTGTGAGATTGTATCAGTTTAACTATTTTCTTTCATATTGATTAACATTCTGTCTTTTTTTTAATATGTCGTACCTCAGTTCAGAGATCCATAGTTTTTCTGACTTTTGGTACCTGATGATAAGATTTTTTGCTTTTGTTACAGTTAAACTTGACAACCTGACAAATATGAAATGGAGAACTCTCATATATTTAATTGAATCCAGACACTGCACATCAAAAACACTGAAATGATCACAGATGCCATCTAAAGGATTTTGTTTACCCCATTAGACAAAGTTAACACTCAATCTCTTTTGTTCTTTTCTACAGGCTGCTAAGTAGGTCTCTGGTCGTCGAACGCTGCAGTTATTTTTCGTTGGCTGTGTTTAACTCCACTTGAAACACTTAATCTCAGGACCAACACGGTGCTGCTGACACTGTTCCACCACTAAACTAGTGATCATAGTTCTATTTTCACTCTCAACAGATATCACCTTCATTTGAGCACCGAACCAAACTAAAGACAGGCAGTCCAAATTAATAATAATTTTAAAAAAAACAACAACCATGGGCATCAATTGATAGATGAAGAGACAGTTATTGTGTCTGAAAAGTAAATGTTCAGGTTCAGACTTCATTTTGCTTCAGACAATCCTAAATTTGCCCAGTTCTCTTCCTCCAGCTGCCCCCTTTCAGGTAAACACCATTACAGTAACACTAATACGTGTGCCGTCAGTCACATTTCTGATCTGGAGTCCATCAACTTGTTCTGAACCTTGAGTGACTGAGTGTTATGCCAAGTGTGCTAGTGGCCCAGGCTTTATCATGGCTTAACTTGTACATAGTGTGAGGAGATCTGTTATATGTTTGCTGTATGGACAAGTGAGCTTTCTGTATACTCACACATTCAATTCTGTAAATGTCAACAATAAAACCGAAGCTCTGGCATGATGAATGTCTTTCAGTGTAATATCGGCAAAATAATGCAGTGGAAAAATTGATAAAAATGTGTAAATATTGGGAGAACCACAGGGTGACGGTCTGACTGTTGGACTGTTATTTCTATAATAACGTGATCATGATGCAGGACTGTCCAAGCTGGAATGAAAACAGGTATTACTGAGAAACTGCTGTATTTCAGCTAAGAATATGGATAAACTGGTGAAAGTATAACAAAGAGACTCCCAAATGTTTTCATGTCATGGTCCTTTAATTACACAGTGGCAGAAGGGACAGAGTATATCTAGAAGTCTTAACTTGACTAATAAACTGATGTAGAGAAGCAACCAAACAGAAAGCAGTACAATTTTAATTGCTTCTGAATCAGTTTAATATATGTATTGTATTTTATCATTTTTTAAGTAAAGGCTTTGTTTTTGTAAATGTACATTTATGACTTTGCTATTTGGTAAATTAAGAATACGGTTTATCATTCAAAAATCCCCAATCTCTACTAAAATTTGAACATGTTTGACACCCTGTTTAATAACATGACAGTAATTGTATTGTATTTATTATTATTATTATTATTATTATCATTATTATTGTTATAGGAAATGAGTTGAGTCAACCCACCATAAACAGACCTCAGAGGCCTAATCCCAGCCTGTGGAGTCAGTTAGGCGTTTTTACAATTGATCAATATATAATATTAAATCACCATATCACGGCCATGTTAGTGCTATCATACGGACTGCTACTGCAGTGAGTATATCTGCCTATTTGATTATCTAGCATGTAAAGTTATTCTATAAACCATCCTACACATATAATATCGATGTATTGTCTTTGATAAAGAAACTAAAATCCTTTAAAGGCTGATCCTGACCCTGGAGAATTACAGTAACTGTTTCTCATTTGAACTCCATGTTATAGTGAATATTTTAGGTCATAGCTGACAGACTGGAGTCACTGCTTTTGACGTTCATCAGTTACTAGTGATTGCCTGTTGACCTGCAGTGTTGGGTGGTAAGGCATTACCAGTAATAATATTACAGTAATAATATTACTTTCCCCAGTAATTAGTAGTGTAAGTAATTACTAATAAATTAAAACAGTTGTTCTTACTGTAAGTTGGAAACACAATAACTGCAGTGAGTTTGTGTAAAATGAGCAATTTGGATGAATTTTGAGCAAATGATTATCTATGAATATGACATATATACATAGATGTTTTTATTTTTTTTACTTTTTTATACAATTCTCTGGCAGTTATGTGTTATAATAGCTTAATTAATCAATTTATAAAGGACGACATATAGTCCTACTGGGTAATTATTTAAAAGTTTTCCTTCACACATTAAAATCTACCTCCTCACGACTCCCCGTGAATCTTTGGTGTCCCCTACTGGGAGACAACCACTGTTATAGAGCATAACTTTGGTGGTAGCTGCCACAATAGTACAAAATGTAGCCCAAACTATAACCCACCCAAAACAATTTTACCCACCCAATTACATACAAAGTCGCCCTAATGAAAAAACTATTTCTTTATTTAGCTTTAACAGTTTGAAGTAACCAAACAATTCCCAAGAAAATGTTTCACAACAACTAGAAGGTGAATGCTCCATGTTAAAAGGCTGATGCTAAACTGCTGGCTTTAATTTGTATAAAGAAGCTGCTGAAGGTGTATGGTGGGAAAGATACTAATTAGTGAAAAGTTGAGTAAATCTCATAATGTCTTTAAGATGTGGAACATTATTTGGTTTGAACTGAGTTCAAGAGTTGAAAAATGTTTGAAAAAGTGAAGAAAAAATATGCATTTTAACTGCTAAAGTGCTGACAATTCAGAATATCTCCACAGTCACGGACAGACAGGTTGACAATAGTTTTACAGTTGAAGGAAGATAGACATCCTGTAATTCTATACAAGAAGCCCAGTTTGATATTTAATATTTGAGTCAATTGTTAATATGAATCTTGAATGATAGTCTGCTGTCAAGGCAAATTCCTCTGTATTTGTATGACTCAGCCAGAGTGATCTTTAAATAGCAGGATAGTCAGAGTCACTGGTGGAGAATATCATGTGCTTTTTGGAATACAACAATATAAGAAACAGACAAAGATAAACCATGCCCACTCAAAGATTTAAAGCTGTAAAGCATGTAACGTCAGCTTTGATCACACGCAGTTAAAATACGTCTCTTCTAAGGTTTCTGTGAGGAATATCATTTACACACATACACTACAACATCCATGGACTAACATGGAGAAAGCAATGGACTGCATTAACTGCTCAAGGTAACTGATGATATCACAAGCAGCCAGGACCAACCACTCAGATGGATCGTGTCTATGTTATTTTAAACTTTATGGTTAATATTTCAAACAAAGGAGATATACAATTACAAACAACCACCCTGGCCCACAAAAACAACCCAGAAATATGCTATATATATAAAAATATATAAGAGAAATTTCTGTGACACTATACATCATATAAATGAAGTAAGGTATAATCATATAAGCATACACTCTATATTACAATTGGGAAAATGGGAGGGAGCCTCTGTGTGAATCAGCATAGGCCCCACATCTTTATTTGGCATATTTGTCTTCTTCTCATGTTCGATGTGATTAAAAACATGAACAGTCCAAAGGCTGTAAGAAGGTTTCCATTTCAGCAGGGTTGAGCATCTGTCCAGCAAGGTGGCAAAGCTAATCGGATCATTTTATAAGGCAGGGTGAGCAACGTCTGTATGAATAACATTTTTCAACAGTGCTGTGTGTGTTCACGCAATGTGTTTTCAGCGACAACTGTTGAGTTGAAAGTAAATATAAAATTATAAAATAACAGAGAGGAATACACATTATAAACAAAGGTAACACAAGGAAACAATGCCACAACTTAAGTTTCACTTTCATAGATGAGACTTTCAGACATCATTTTCTGCAATAAACTAAAGTTCAATTTAAAAAATCCCATTGGCTTTGTGTCGAAAACCACCAGAGTGATGCTAACTTCTGGGTTGGCATACAAATATGTAATGCCTGCAGCACTCTATAGAATTAAGTTAAGTCAACAGTCAAGTTAAAGGTTGTTGTATAACATTGTTATCATACACACTACATGGGCAGCTTTTCAAGAGGTTTTTATGAGTTAGGGATTGATGTTTTTACATATTTATGTAAATATTCATTTATTTGAAGGAGTTGAAGGACATGTAAATACACCGGTAGCAGAGTGAGGTGAGCAGGTGAAACTGGGTTTGGATCAGTATTATTCTTGTCTTGAAATCAGGTTGTCAGCTCGATACAGCAACACAAATATTTGTTTTTATTCAAAATTCTGTTCCTCATGGTATTTTCCTTTTGGAACCTAGAATCTTCCAGAGTTCTAATGTCTTTGATCCGGTCTCATCGTGACATCAAATAGAACTTGTTCATGTGCAAGGTTTAGAACCAACAGCTTATAAAGACACACTGATCTGGTTTATTGAAAGTAGTCTTTCTTACTCGTTGGTGAAACTTAGTGAAACTTTTAGTGAAACTTCAGTGAAACTTCAGTGAAACATTGGTAAAACTCATGGCTTCAAATCTCTTCAATCGACTCCTTGGGAGGAGGAGGAGATCGGATAATGATAATGTAAGTACATCCAACTGTTTTATTCTCTAAGCATTCTGGTGTTCATATCTGAATATTTTTCAGAGAGGCATAGAGACCATCTGGTTGCTTTACTGCTTTAAGGGTATAAATACTGGCCCAAATAAAACAGCAGTATTTGTTCTGACTCGGCTTTCACAACAGTTTTGGGCTCAAAATTCCATAAATCCAAGTGTGAGAACTGAGCCTGCAACTTGTTGGAAGGTGTTTTGCACACTTTGTGTACTAAATTTAAGTTTAGCATACTGAAACTGTTAATAAACAATCAAACCAATTGTGAAATACTGTATTGTTATTTGAACTTTGAAATTATTTCATTCTTTATCACAGAATACTGAAAAGCACAGACAAGAGAGTCCCGGCTTAAGCAATCAGTCCAGGATCCTGGAAATACAGAGGGCTGAGAGGGAGGCTCTCATCAATCAGACAGAGAAGTTGTGTGCTGCAGTCACAAGGTGCAGCGATGCTGTGCTGCAGAGACTTGGACTCTCCATCCAGCAGGACCCCCTCTCTTCACCTCAGCCCCCAGCTAGTCCCAGACGAAGGCCTGAATCATCTGTCCCAGGACGGAGGATCAGACCTTCACATTTACTGCCTTTAAATTTTGAGGTGGCTGCATCCAGGACCCAGAAAAATCGCAGGAATCCTGAAACAATAGACGAGGAAGAAGAAGATGTGCATCTGGGCAATGACCGGACCTCCAGCCTATCAGGTTCCATCAGCTCAGTGGATACACAGACTCCCAGTGAGTTGAGGGAAATCTTGCTGATTGAAAGTCCTCTTGAGTTGTCACCTGTTGCACCTTCTCATCCTCCAGCAGCTCCAAAACTCAGGAGAAGAGTATCCCGTCTCCCTGTTATGTGGATGTACCTTAATGGAGCAGGTAAGTTCTTCTATAGACAAACTGATTACTCATAATGGCAGAGCTACATATTGTAACCAGGAACCCCAGAGGTTTTGAATATTGTTGAGCATTGTTGAACTTTTTTTTCAGGAATTCTAATAACTTATAATAATATAAATAAATATATGTTAATAGGTGAAGATGTGAACACAGTAAACGGGTAGAAATGTGACTGACTGATCTATGAATATTTTGATCTTAATCTGAACAGACAAAGAAGTAGCCGGTGGATATAGACTCCAGACGGCTAAACATCAGGTGGAGGAAATCCAGAAGGGACTGGAGAACTTTCGGCAAAAATCCATCCAGGCTGTACCCCGACCCCCAGCGGCACCAAAAAGGAACCAGCAAGGGAAACCTGTTGCTCCATCTCGTCGTCCAAAACTGGCCCCACAAAAGAAGACTGCAGTTTGTCAAAACTCTGTCCAGCCTGTACCCCAAGCCCCAGCGGCACCAAAAAGGGAACTGCAAGGGAAAACTGTTGCTCCAGCTCCTCCTCCAACACTGGCCCCACCCAAGAAGACAGGAGTTCGTCGTGGGACAACCCTGCAGTCCTCAAAGACTGCCATTGGAGTAAAGACACAAAATAAGTCCAAGCTCCAGACAGCAGACAAGAAGCCGCTGGAAGAACTGCAGCCACTTTCCAAACCAGTGGAGGGTCTTTCGCAATGCTTCAAGCTTATGAGTTTAGAAGACTGGTAAGACTCTGACACCATGCAATAGAGAAAATGATTTTCCATCTGCAGTGCCAACAACTTTTACTTCAACTATGTTTAATCCTATGTAGTAATTTCTCATATTATTTTAAGGTTAATTGTTGTTTGTTCATCTGGCTAGTCAACAGCCAACAGCTACTTTGCACAGCTCAGTATGGAGTCAGTAACTTCTATTAGTTAGTGCAACCATGAAACATTTTAGTAAATCAAAAACTGGAACTTGTAGTTTTATTTTATGTTTAGATGTGACAACTTTTATGGAAGATGTTTAAACTGAAGGTGTATCAGATTAGTGTTGTTCCTAAATTAAAGTACAGTTCAATAACTATGTCACCTCCACACAGGAAGAAGAAGATTGAAGGCCTGCGAACCGTCCAAGCCCTGGCCCAGCACCATCCAGACACACTGATGGAAAAACTTCATGAAGTGTGTCTGGCTGTGATAGAAGAGGTACTGAAGATATTTTCCTCTTTGTTTCTCTGTGTTTCATGCTGTTTTCATTTGTTGACCACTGACTGGTGATGTTTATTCTTACTCTCTAGGTTAAAAATCTACGCTCCTCAGTGGCCTGCGTAGCAATGGACACCATGGGGTATCTCTATGTCTACCTGCAGAAGGACATGGATACTCAGGCAGAGAGGACAGGCCGCACTCTGCTGCAGAAGATTGCACAGTCAAATGCAAACCTCTTTGTGCAGCAGCAGGCCAACAAGGCCCTGGAGGCACTGGCGCAGAATTGCAGCCCTGCTCGTGTCCTCACCACTCTGCTGAATAATGGGCTGAGGTAAGATCACAGTGGAGGATCAGAATCTATGAATAAGTGTAGTACATCAGCATTCAAAGGAAATGAAATGAAACAAAGCTAATAGATTTGTTTGTCTTTGTTCTTCCACAGCCACCTGAGCGCTGCAGTGAGAGCCTGCACAGCTCAGCAGCTTCACCTGCTGGCTGACGGACTAGGAGCAGCCGCAATCTTCACAGCAGGGAGGACCTTCACTCAGAGCTTCCTTACTGCGGTCAGTAAGATGTCTCTGGACGCTGCTGCCGAAGTCAGGTCAGTTATCAAGATGTGCATTTAGTTCACAAGGTTCAGAACTGTATGATTTGATGTCTTCTGGTTTGTGTCTTCTGTGACGGCCCCAAATGTCTGGGGATCCTTAGAGTCATACTTTTGCAACAAAATCTTGCATTGCAACAAAGATGAAGAGACTGATGTCTGTGACAGAAAAAGAGAAATTCTCTTTTTTTCCATCTTGTGCTTTGTACACTGAAGTGCTAAATACGAATTTTGTCTCTTAACAGACCCCATGGACATGCCATCCTCCAGAATCTGGCCCTTCACGAAGACTTTATGGATCTGTGGAGGGACATCGTCTCCGAAAAAGATCGAAGCCCACTGGAGAGAATTCTGAGGACCGCAAAGAAGACGTAAAGGCGGGGGACAACAAAGGGCAGAGGGCGGCACGCTGGTGCAGTGGTTAGCACTGTCACCTCACACAAAGACGGAGCAGCCTTTAAAGCAGCCGTGGAGGCTACTTTAAAGGCTGCTCCTGTCTGTGTGGAGTTTGCATGTTCTCGCCGTGTCTGCGTGGGTTTACTCCGGGATGCTCCGGTTTCCTCCCACACTCCAAAGATATGCAGCTTAGGTTAATTGGCTTCAAAATTATATTACTATTCTCAATTAAAAATTTAAGATTACATATTTTGTTGCTTTTTTAATGTAAGAGAGGAAGATGCTTTGGTGAGCTAACATAAAACAAAACTGAAATGTCACAAAATCATACTGAGACATAAAAGAGGCACACATGTCAACATAAAACTACATGTCTACAAGAGAGATTTTACCTTGCAGGCTGTTTCCCTCTTATCCACAAATCTTGGACAGTAGTTTTTCAGGCTACTTGGTGGCAACAGTGTCTCATCTTGTTAAGGTTAACTTTATTACACCTCTAAAAATTTAATAATTGGGTTTTTTAAAAACTCTTTAGCATTTTCACACTTCCGGCTTCCTCATCTCGCAAATCAATATGTGTTTTTCCTGGGTTTTTGATTAGATGCCTGAAATAAGGTCTGTGGTTAACACAAGCTTAAAAGATTTTCACATGTTGTTCTATGGCATAAAATATGTCAGTAAATACCCCACTCATGAATTTTGAAGATTTTACGTGTCTTAAAATAGGCGGTCGCTAACAAGTGGCTAAATGAGACTACAGAGGTTGTCTGTGCCACTAAACATCATCACACTGCACACAGAAGCTTAGCTTTGCGGTGAAGTAATGCTTGTTCATTTATAGTGTAACAGTACCTTTTCTATTTCCACAGATTCTATTTACTCTTAAAAAATCATAAAAATTGTGTTCATTTGTGAAGATTATGTTGCTGAATAAAATTTTCTTTTCTGCAACAATCCAAAATTAAGTGGAAAAATCCCATTGGCTTCGTGTTAAAAGAACCATGGTGATGCTAACTTACAGGCTGGCCTACAAAAATATGTAATTCCTGCAGCACTCTCTAAAAGTGACCCAGTAAGACAAGACACATCAGCCCAGCTTCCTACCAAAAAAATTACATCACTTCTGGTGTTATCAGTAAAGGTGGCCTTATTCTTTATTCTTATACTTGGATCCCCATTTGCTGCCACCAAGGTAGCAGCTACTCACTAAGTTGACTGACAAGCTATCATACCAATGAAAATATCCTTCATCACAGCTGCCCCCAGATTTGCAGGGTCAAATTTGCTGTCCCTGAGAAGGAGTGCAGATGTCTGGTGCCGTCTCTGGTAAAGAAGGAAGCAGGATGAGATGAGCAACTGGCTGGGTGTACTTCTGGTCATTCACCTGGATCTCCACTGTCCTGACCCTCCCGTCTGACCTTGGTGATGTGGCCAATAGCGTCGATGGCTACTCAGCTCAGAGTCATGATACACCACCTGAAGCAGCAATGGGCCATCAAGAGCAGGTTCGGCCTTGTATGTATTGTATTTGTGCCCTGATCCGATAGAATCTCCTCTGGTTTTCCCCAGCGTTATTTGAATCGATGGAGGGCCATCAAGAATTAACCCTGGTTTGGATTACTCAGAACATCTATGTGTACAGCCCAAGTAGTGAGGCACTTAAATAGTATGCCCCAATGCTTCTCATCACGACGTCCAACTCTTACCATGAACGGCCCAAAACAAACCATGCTCTTGTCCACGAAGGATGCAGTTCCTCCAACGAGTTTCAACAAAGAGCTGCTCGGAGCCTGGATGGTGGAGGTCAAGTAAGTGAGTGAGAGGGGCAGTGGTTATGGAGCTGAGAATGTGGCTTTCTGGAGCTGAGTGCCATCCTTAAGCTCAGCCTCTAGCTTGGATGAGCTATGCAATGAGCACAAAAATTCTGGGCAACCGGTCCTTCCCTGCCAGCTCCCTTATGGTCTTCCCATGGGTGATGTCATCTGCAGACTGTACCTCCAGGCCTTGGCTTCACTCAGTTCTTGGATCTCGGCAACTCTTGTGCCCATGAACACTTTGAATCTACAAGAGTCTGGCTGGAGCCATGTGAGCACCGTGGTGGAGTCTGTCCAGAGCACCACCTCCTGAAGCACCAGGTGAGTTCACACTGCAACAGCACTGCCAACTGGGCACCAGTCAGTGTAGCACATAACTCCAGCCATAGCATCGACTGCTGACACTTCAGGTCCATTCTCGACTGTGCTGTCAGGAAGGCTACTTCCACCTTGCCATCTGGGCCGTCGGTGCGCAGGCAAGCAACTGTGCTGTAGGCCTTCTTATCACAGAAGATATGGAGGCTTCTGACAGAGCAGGGGTGGTCCAGAGGTCGGCTTGTATAGCATCATTGCAGGACAATCTCTGGAAGGTGTTGAAGCTCATCTTCCCAAGTTAGCCACACCTTGAGGGTGTTGTCTGACAGGCACAGTCATCCTACTTTCTCACTCTGTCCCATAGGTGCTGCACAATGACTTTGGCCTGTGTTTTTTGTCTGCACCAGACCAGACTGATGAGCAGTCATCAAGGTGAGCTAGAACTGATGCCTGTGACACTGGTGCTCCGAAGGAAGGGGTGACAAAAGAGCAACATGTTCTAATGCATGATATCCCAGTAACCATTTTCTTAACAATATTTTCAATATGTTTCTCCCATGATAGCTACCCATTGAGTGTTACACCAAACAAATTTGCTTCTCAAACCTGTTCAATATCTAAGCCTTTGAGTGATAGGCACAGTTGATTATTATTCTTAGTTGCATGTATTGCCCTGAATATAATACTTTTGGTTTTTGCTACATTCAAAACAAGTCTGTTGTCAAATATCCAATCAAATAATGATTGCAGTTCAGATTGCAGAGCATTCGTTAAGTCAGTTATATTAGCTACTGCAAAATATATAGTTGTATCATCTGCAAAAAGACTGATACTGCATGTATCCAACACATAAAACATTGAACTTTTAGAGCAATATTATTACTTATTATATAAGCAGTTCAAGTTAAAGGTTGTTTTATTACAGTGTTATCATACAGCACACTAAATGCTTGCATGATTCACACTATGGGCAGCAGTGATCAGGGCCATTATAAGAGAGGGGAACCACAGTAATATAGAGATTGTTAAGGTTGCCACTATTCTAGCAAGCTTAGAAATAGGTTGTGCAGGATGTGCATGGATGTAAAGATTCACCTTATTGAATGTGTGGTTATTAAATATATAAAAACACCGGAAGCAGAGTGTGAGGTGAGCAGGTGAAACTGGGTTTGGATCAGTATTATTCTTGTCTTTGAATCTGAACCACTTTCTTAAATAAAACCAGGTTGTCAGCTCCATACAGCAGCACAAATATTTGTTTTTATTTGAATTTCAGTTCCTTATATGCTGTTTTCCTTCTGTGCATAAATTGGAACCTAGAATCTTCCAGAGTTCTAATGTCTTTGATCCAGTCTCATCGTGACATCAAATAGAACTTGTTCATGTGCAAGGTTTAGAACCAACAGCTTATAAAGACACACTGATCTGGTTTAGTGAAAGTAGTCTTTGTTACTCGTTGGTGAAACTTAGTGAAACTTTAGTGAAACTCATGGCTTCAAACATCTTCAATCGATTTGGGAGGAGATTAGATGATAATAATGTAAGTACAACCAACTGTTTTATTCTCTAAGCATTCTGGTGTTCAGGTCTGAATATTTTTCAGAGATGCATATAGACCATCTGATTTCTTAACTGGTTTATGGGTTTTAAAATTACTGGCCCAAATAAAACAGTATTTTCTCTGACTCAGCTTTCACAACAATGTTAGACAAAAAAATCCCATAAAGCCTAGTGTGAAAACTGAGGCTACAACTTAGTGTTACCCTTTGTGTACTCAATTTAAGTTTAGCATACTGAAACTGTTAATAAACAATCAAACCAATTGTGAAATACTGTATTGTTATTTGAACTCAACTGACTTCAATGTTGAAATTATTTCTTTTTTTATCACAGAGTACTGAAAAGCACTGGAGACAAGAGAGTCCCAGTGACTACAGCAATCAGTCCAGGATCCTGGATATACTGAGGGTTGAGAGGGAGGCTCTCATCAGTCATTCAGAGAGGTTGTGTGCTGCAGTCACAAGGCGCACCGATGCTGTGCTGGAGAGACTTGGACTCTCTAACCAGCAGGTCCCCCTCTCTTCACCTCAGCCCCCAGCTGGTCCCAGACGAAGGCCTGAATCATCTGTCCCAGGACGGAAGATCAGACCTTCACGTTTACCGCCTTTAAAAGCTGAGGTGGTGAGCAACAGCAGGAATCCCCAAACAAAGGATGAGGAGGAAGAAGACGTGTATCTTGGCAATGACAGCACATCAGCTTCCATCAGCACACTGGATACTCTGACTCCCAGTGAGCTGAGGGAAATCTCGCTGATTCAAAGTCCTGTTGAGGTGTCACCTCCTCAGACACCTGTTGCTCCCTCTCATCCTCCAGCAGCTCCAAAACTCAGGAGAAGAGTATCCCGTCTCCCTGTTATGTGGATGTTACTCAATGGAGCAGGTTAGTTCTTCTATAGACAAACTGATTACTCATAATGGCAGAGCTAATAACTTCAAAGAAGTTGTAACCAGGAACTCCAGAGGTTTCTGTTATTGTTGAGCATTGTTGAAACCTTTATGTGTCATTCTCTGTTGGAATCACAAAGCACAAAATTATCATGTATTCTCATAAGTCCTCAGCAGTTTGAAGTACAGATATGTTAATAGGTGCAGATGTGAACACAGTAAACGGGTAGAAATGTGACTGATGAATATTTTGATCTTAATCTGAACAGACAAAGAAGTAGCCGGTGGATATAGACTTCAGACGGCTAAATATCAGCTGGAGGAAATTCAGAAGGGACTGGAGAACTTTTGGCAAAACACCCTTCAGGCTGTACCCCAACCCCCAGCAGCACCAAAAAGGAACCAGCAAGGGAAACCTGTTGCTCCAGCTCGTCGTCCAACACTGGTCCCACAAAAGAAGACAGGAGTTCGTCAAAACTCTGTCCAGCCTGGACCCCAAGCCCCCGGCAGTCCAAAAAGGGAACTGTCAGGGAAAACTGTTGCTCGAGCTCTTCCAAACTGGCCCCACCCAAGAAGAGAGGGGTTTGTCGTGGGACTTTTAGACACAAAATAAGTCCAAGCTCCAGACACCAGACAAGAAGCCGCTGGAAGAACTGCAGCCACTTTCCAAACCAGTGGAGGGTCTTTCGCAATGCTTCAAGCTTATGAGTTCAGAAGACTGGTAAGACTCTGACACCATGCAATAGAGAAAAAAGATTTTCCATCTGCAGTGCCAACAACTTTTACTTCAACTATGTTTTTAATCCTATGTAGTCAGTTCTCATATTAGCTAAAATCTGATTTCAGTTCTGTGACTACATGTTTTGGGCTTTGGGGTTAATTGTTTGTTCTTCTGACTAGTCAACAGCCAACAGCTACTTTACACAGCTTAGTATGGAGCTAGTAACTTCTATTAGTTGGTGCAACCATGAAACATTTAAGTAAATCAAAAACTGGAACTTGTAGTTTTATTTTATGTTTAGATGTGACAACATTTGCAGAAGCAGTTCAAACTGAAGGTGTATCAGATTAGTGTTGTTCCTAAATTAAAGTACAGTTCAATAACTATGTCACCTCAACACAGGATGAAGAAGATTGAAGGCCTGCGAACCGTCCAAGCCCTGGCCCAGCACCATCCAGACACACTGATGGAAAAACTTCATGAAGTGTGTCTGGCTGTGATAGAAGAGGTACTGAAGATATTTTCCTCTATTTTCGTTTCATGCTGTTTTCATTTGTTGACCACTGACTGGTGATGTTTATTCTTACTCTCTAGGTTAAAAATCTACGCTCCTCAGTGGCCTGCGTAGCAATGGACACCATGGGGTATCTCTATGTCTACCTGCAGAAGGACATGGATACTCAGGCAGAGAGGACTGGCCGCACTCTGCTGCAGAAGATTGCACAGTCAAATGCAAACCTCTTTGTGCAGCAGCAGGCCAACAAGGCCCTGGAGGCACTGGCGCAGAATTGCAGCCCTGCTCGTGTCCTCACCACTCTGCTGAATAATGGGCTGAGGTAAGTCACATCACAGTGGAGGATCAGAATCTGTGAATAAGTGTAGTACATCAGCATTCAAAGGAAATGAAATGAAACAAAGCTAATAGATTTGTTTGTCTTTGTTCTTCCACAGCCACCTGAGCGCTGCAGTGAGAGCCTGCACAGCTCAGCAGCTTCACCTGCTGGCTGACGGACTAGGAGCAGCCGCAATCTTCACAGCAGGGAGGACCTTCACTCAGAGCTTCCTTACTGCGGTCAGTAAGATGTCTCTGGACGCTGCTGCCGAAGTCAGGTCAGTTATCAAGATGTGCATTTAGTTCACAAGGTTCAGAACTGTATGATTTGATGTCTTCTGGTTTGTGTCTTCTGTGACGGCCCCAAATGTCTGGGGATCCTTAGATTCATACTTTTGCAAAAAAATATTGCATTATGGTTAAAATTAAAGATGAAGAGATTGATGTCAGTGTAAAAAAAAAAAAAGAGAAATTTTCTTTTTTTCCCATATTGTGCTTTGTACACTGAAGTGCTAAATAAGAATCTTGTCTCTTAACAGGCCCCATGGACATGCCATCCTCCAGGAACTGGCCCTTCACGGAGACTTTATGGATCTGTGGAAGAACATCATCTCCGAAAAAGATCGAAGCCCACTGGAGAGAATTCTGAGGACAGCAAAGAAGACGTAAAGGCGGGGGACAACAAAGGGCAGAGGGCGGCACGCTGGTGCAGTGGTTAGCACTGTCACCTCACACAAAGACGGAGCAGCCTTTAAAGCAGCCATGGAGGCTACTTTAAAGGCTGCTCCTGTCTGTGTGGAGTTTGCATGTTCTCGCCGTGTCTGCGTGGGTTTACTCCGGGATGCTCCGGTTTCCTCCCACACTCCAAAGATATGCAGCTTAGGTTAATTGGCTTCAAAGTTTCCCAATTATATTACTATTCTCAATAAAAATTTTAAAGATTACATATTTTGTTGCTTTTTTAATGTAGCTGACAGGAAGATGCTTTGGTGAGCTAACATAAAACAAAACTGAAATATCACAAAATCATACTGAGACATAAGACAGGTGACAAAAAATAAAATAAACAAAATAAAATGTATTTAAACAAAACAATTCTTTATGTTTGAAACAATAACAATATCAGTGTCAGCATTTTCTGGGAGGGTTTTTATTTAAATGATGGTATATGGGTTAAAATTAAAGCAATCAGGAAAGAACACCTGTAGCACTGTAGCAGACAATAATGTAATAACTACCATTAACGTTAATTTGCCTATAATGTAATAACATTTCTGAACCCTACTCTTTTATTTCTTTGTTTGTGTAAGTTGATGGTGAGACTTATCTTCAGCCCAGCCTTCTACTTCTTCCATTATACAGTTTACCTTTATGCCACCAGAGGGCACCAGATTATTATTGATGACAACTACCAATAAAAGCAGAAAAATATAGTTTAATTACTGAAATGGTTACTTTGCAAAATAGTTGCCCTTAAAGTTTCTGTCTGTTGACTATTTAATGTGAACGGCAGCTGAATACAGACCTGTAATATGTATTATCAAGCAGTGTCCTGTACTTTGTTCTCATTGCAATTTGAAGATACACTATAAACTTTAATAAAAAGACCCTAGGACACTGAAATGGGATTTTAGCCCATCCCCACTCCCTAACACTAGACTTCACCATGAAATATAACTAGAATCCTTCATAAATCTTTTATTTGTCATTGTGTGACTTTATTTCCAATTTAGACATAAACTACTTTTTTTTTTATCGTAAATTCATTACATGTTAGTTAAAGTAAACATTTTAGTGTAGTGTCCTCAGGTTTTTACTCAGTCCTGTTATCTTGACACATCCTCCCCCCTAAACATTTAGGGAAATTTCACAAGCCACATAAAGCAGCATCAGTTCTGTGTTCTGAAGGCCATGGGAAGCTAAGAAGTAACACGTGTATGATTTATTTATTATGGTAAATTATGTCTTAGATGTTTTTGTCTTTTTTTTAAAGATAGTTTTGGTAAACCACCTGGTGCTAAAGTGTTCTTACTCATAACATTGATATATTTGCTAAAAACCCAGACTGTAACTTATTGTCCTTTTTTCGTGAAATGCAAAATCTTGAGTTTATAGACCATATAACAAATAAATAAAATGCCATGAGATTGACAATTACACATTTTTAATAGTTTAACATGTGTTATTAGATACAATGTTGAAAAAAAAAGCTAAAGAATGAAGTTTAACTTTCAGAAGTTTACAACATGCCAAATAAAGTCTCCACTTAATGCATTTTTGTGAATATTATTAAAGAAAGAAACAAAGATAAACCACGCACACTGAAGGATTTACATCTGTAATGCACGTAGCATGCACTTACAACAGGTTTCTGCTGAAGAGCGTCGTTTTTACATCCGACACTACATCACCCATGAAGCACTGGGTGGCGCCTGCGCATTAACTGCTCGAGTAAAAACCGATGACATCACGCAGCCCGGACCAACCAGTCTGTTGAATCATCTCCGTGCCGTCTGGACTCTGTGCTTCTTCTTCGTTCATTTACTTTTCTGGCATTGTCGGATGAACTTTGTGGACACAGTTAACAAGAGCAATGTTCACGGTGACGAGGTAAGGATGAAACTCTTCCCACAGCGGCTGAGACAATGCCCGCAGTGAGCAGCCGCACCGGGCCGTTTGGTTGCGTTGTTGTCGGTGGTGACCTCCGTACCGGTGTGGCCACTCAATAGTACAACAGCCATCATTAACTGTGGCGAGTTTTGGAGGCTGCTCAAGCGTTTTGTTGTTGAGTTTCCCGAGCGTCCTCCTACAGCGTCAGTGGCTCTTAACCCGGTCTAGACGGGGGTGAGCAGACAGGAGTCGGGTGACATTTGCATCTCTTTTGCAAATTGTTTTTGTTTTGTCAGTTTTGTCTGTTGGTGAGGGTAAAAGCTGACCGACGGCTTCCTCTAATGGGAGCAAACGACTGTCCATACTGGGGACCTCCAGGGTCCCTGAGAAGACCCCCTGAGGGCTCCCAGGAAAGTGAGAAAAAGTCTATTGTTTGTATCCTTTGGGGGTCTTTAAACTGAGATATATATACAATGCCTGAAGGTGGACATGGCAGTGTTTATAATGAATGGATTTGGGGCCAGAATGGTAACTCTGACTACCTATAATGTAAACAATATAGTAACTGTTTGACCCAGTAGATGTAGTATAGCCTGACTGATTTTTTCCCCCAACAATGATATATTGTTTAGAATTTATTTATTTATTTATTTTTACATAAAAGACATTAAAAACAAACATTTTTGATCATTTTACTGTTGAATTCAGTTGTCAGTGATCTGGAGCTAATGGATACATTGTTTCTTATTTATACTTCAAATGTATGTTGGGCATTTCTTAGTACTTATCTGTAAAAACATACACTGATACCGATATAACTGCAGTAAGCTAATATTGCCCGATATATCTGCCCAGTGAGGCTGTGCACAGTAGGCACACAGGTCCACAAATGCTTGATAACCTCTTATCTTACCTTTTTAAAGATTTGGTTTGAGCTCTACAATATGCTATGGATTACAACAACTTTGCACATAACCCAAAATAAAATGGTTGTCATTATATTGATATTCAGGGTAGACTGTCTCTTCATGTACTACGATACATTCTCATCTCCGATTGATTAATTGAGTTCTCCTACAGCCCTCTTAAAGATCCCTAACTGCCACTTTACCCTTGATGAAAGAGATTGGCTTCTGGAGCCGGTCAGACATAAAATACTTCACCTGTTCTGAGTTAAAACTCACTTGTATCCCTCTCCTGAGAAGCGGAATAACTCACTTGTGAAAGCCATGAAGTTACCGGTCAATCAGAGAGCACAACACAGAGATTATCACAGCGTGGTCATTCTAGTGGTAGGTTTATACCCAGTTATGTGCTTATCAGAAAAGGCTTGCATTCCCGAGAATTAAAATGCTCTAAATCATTGAGGGGGCCTGTACGTGCTTGTAATGGGCCGCTGCCTTGTGAGAGGGCTTACTGCTGTGGTGGGATCTGCAGAGATGTTTTCACTGTAAACATGGGAGAAGCCTTACATGATGTTCCATGCTGTTATTTTGTCCACAGTGTTAATGCTCAGACAGGGAGTTGGCTGCTTACAGATCAGCCTGGAAAGGCTCTGACATTTGAATTGCGTGGTTTGTTTCTCTGAGTGCACGTTGCAGGTGATTGTTGTAACTGCATGATTTCCCAAGTGGTTTGTGCTGATATATTGTATATCCATAGGCCAATATTATTGAGTGACAGATATTGGCATAAATAGTTGGTGACACCAATATAGTCTGATTAAACTGTAACCTCATTTGATCCTGTTCATAATGACAAAGACTGTTTTCCTGTTAGGACAGACTGTCGTGTGTGCATGCATGTTACCAGTACTAACCCCATTATCACAAATCACCCATTTGCCTGAAGGGGTTTTACATTTACATTGTTTATTTATTCCACATCAGGGTTTTAACAGTGAACCCTCATACTCAGGTAGTGACTGAGTGTGTTTATTCTGCTTTTTATGCTTAAGTCCTTATTGTGTCTTCTTGCCTGACAAACACATTAGGAATTGCATGTATCTTAACAAGCTTGTTGCTGTGTCTTAGTTCAGCGTATTAGTTGCTGTTAGCAGCTCTGCCAGTCAGCTGTATATCATTGCTTCCTCTACCCAAGCACGCCCTTCGGCTACAGCAACTACCGTCTTGTTTTGTTGGCACTGGTCATTTGTTGATGTTTCTCGTCATCTGCCTGTTGTCACAGACACGGACACGGCCTGTGCTGCTGACGGGGACGGAATTTGATAAAAAAAAAAAAAACTGTCCTTGGTGGAACTGACTGCTGCATTGTGACTCAGTTTCAGTTGGCACTGTCGGAGAACTGGAGGACACATCGGCCAATTGTGTCTGTTGGGATTTAAGCTCTTCTGTTCCTACATTTTCTCAGTCGTGACCATTCAAAACTGACAGCAGCTGAGCATAAATGCTAAAAGAAAAGTGAATAAAATCTGACTTTATTGATATATTAGTCATCCCTATGAACTGATACATGAAAACTGGTAAATGTCTTTTATTCACTTCTTCTCCACAGAGTAAACCAATCACATTAAAGTTGTCAGACGGTGGCTGTGCACTGTACATGGTGCTCTCCTGTCTGTCAGCACACACAAACACTTCTGGAGTTCTCCTGGGGAACTGGGTTAATGAACTGAGTGTTACGTTTCACAGGACTGGCAATGCAGCAGGAGGGGAGCCGGGGGGGGCAGCTTCCCTGGATGGCTCACATTAACCACTACAGAGTGAAAGAGTAAACGACAGCATCAACAATAGAGGGGGAGGTATAGACTAATTATTTTTTCAAAGGTGGGTGTCATTTAGGAGTGGCTGTAACACAGCTGAGCCCTTAAGACCACCATATGTCAGCATGGTGTCTGGATGTTGTGGTGGCATTAGTGTATAGAGGCAGGCGTTGAACCACAGCTCTGAGAGGGCCGTTTTCCTCGTGAGAACAATGAAAATGAACATCCTGATTTAGGAGGTCAGTGGTTATATCAGCTTTCTTCATCATTCTGACCCATGTCAGGAATATAAATTATGTTGTCACAGTAGATCCTGCTCTTGGAAACATAATAATTACTTTAGTTCAGTTATTTAGTGGATATGTATTTATACTTACTGAAATATGAATGACTCATTTGGCACAGTCAGTAAAAGAATAGTTATATTAGTATGAGAAGGTAGCAAATCCAGTTAGTGTACATACCATAGTTACTTGAATCAGCTCTAAGATTGTTTGTGTCACATCGTAAGTATTCTTACCACATAAGAGGTTAGGCAGAGTGACAAAGTACCGT